AACCTGAGGGCTGTCACCTCAGAGCAGTTGTGTTTGGTTCTTTCTTCCAGTTTCCTAGTCAGGTTATGATGTTTTTTTATGCCTGTTGGTCATAACTTCCTGTTCCTGATGTTTTCATTCACCTTAATCAGGTCGGCTAATATTCTCTCTCACTCACTCACTCACTCACGCACGCACGCACGCACGCACGCACGCACGCACGCACGCACGCACGCACACACGCACACACACACACACACACACACACACACACACACACACACACACACACACGTCTGTAATCAGCAATTTATGATGAGCAGAAGCTCAGACTGTTCTTAAGGAGGACTGTTTCCACCTTAAATGAACCAGAGTGCCCTCACCTTTGACGCGTTTGAACCTCTTGAACCAGCGCCCAAACTCGTGGCATTTGGAGGTGGAGACGTTGGCGTAGTAGGAGCTGTTCACTATCGCCGAGATCATGCTCTGAAGAGATTTAGATGACATCATTAGGACACACACACCAATACTTGTGAGTGCTTACAGAGGATCGGGGTCACATGACCACCTTAGACTAAAATCAGAATGATTAAACCCAACGCTCCTGTTCCCGATCCAAACTGTGGTCACTTCCACGGAGCGGGAGATGCTCCAAGTCCACATGGGAAACGCTGGAGATGAAGACTCACATGAGTCAGGCTGCAAAGGCACACCACCCACACACTTCCCCGTATCACTAATTACATCATGACTAAGTCTGGTGTGTAAATCACCAGTCAAAATGACACACTCCCGTCTAATGACTGCAGGGTGTGTGTGAGCGGGGTAATTGAGGTGTGTGTGCTCGCATCCTTTCCCGTGGGATGGTATCAATATTTGCTGGTGTGACTGAGTCAGATTACACGCTGCACTCAGCCTGTGGTGAGCTGATGATGAAACATGTGTTTAGGGAGCACACTTAGCGGCATCTCGGCCATCTTGGCGTCTGACACTCAGATTTACGTTGTGTCGTCGTGCAGCGGCTACCTGGGACAGAGGACACTCCTTTGCCAGAGCGCTCTGGTTGGTTTCCCTGAGGAGATCTTTCAGGGCATTTCTCACCGTGGCGTGGGTCCACTGGTCCGACGGAAGCTCCTCCAGTCGAGCAAAGCTGCAACGAAATTCTGTCTTAGTGTCTTTCACTGAAGGAAAACAGATATTTAAGTTAATAAATCACCAAATCACACAAAAAAAACGAAGTGAGGAAAGGTTCTGATGAGAATTGGGCTGGTTTTGGTTCTATTGCGACTCGTTAGAAGGGTTTAGCTAAAGCCTTTAGTTAGGGCCAAACACAAGAAGTAGTTTTAGGAGCACAACAACAACAATAATAACAACAACAACAATATTAATAATGATATTAATAATAACAATAATATTAATAATAATAACAGTAACACCAATAACTATATTAATTATTATATTAATAATTATATTATTATTATTTATAACAATGTATTATTATTATTATTATTATTATTATTATTATTATTATTATTATTATTATTATTATTATTATTAACAATAATATTATAATAATGTTATTAATTATATTAACAATAACAACAACAATAATAATAATAACAATAATAACAATAATAATGATGATGGGTGCTCGATACCTGCTGTGTTCTCTCATAAAAAAAAGAAAAACTAAAACCTTTCAGGTCACCAACATCATATTTCTCCAATCACACTTTCATTTGAAACATTTACTACTTTAATTCAAGTTAATAATAATAAATTATTTATTTTGTCTCCGCCAGCAGCTGAATCTCGTTCTCCCTAAGCTGTATGTGTTATTACAGCTATGGTGATACAACAGCAGTGAAGATTTTCACAAAAGAAAAGCAGGTCCTGGATGCAGAGTCTTGTTTTGTTTTCGTTGTTAGCTGTTAGCTACACCTTGCTAACAGCCTAGCTAGGTGCAGCTGTTAGCTGTGAGGACAGAAGATGCTCACTACACCGGGCAACGTTCTACTTCTTCCCCAAGTTGTGTGAAATAAACTAAAATATCTCTAAAGATTGACCTCAGATCGGCTAAATGTGGACGTTTGAGGAGCAAGGAGAAGCAGCTGAAGAGTCTGATGTAGAACAGACAGTACGGGGACGGTGGAGGACAGATCACCAGAGACAGCACGGGGACGGTGGAGGACAGATCAGCAGAGACAGCACGGGGACGATGGAGGACAGATCATCAGAGACCGCCCCGTACCTCCTTTACCCCGCCAGGGCGTAATCTTTGGTAGAAATGACATAACGACACGGCTTTGTTTCCAAAAGAGGCTTTAGAGACTCTTACTGTGAAGCTCTGAAGGACGTACCAGATTTTGCGTCCCACTTTCAAAATAAAACCTTTTGTGTTTGTCGTTCACTCCGTAGAATCAGAAACGCCGTAGTCGGGTGTTGGGATGGTTATAATCGCATCTCAGGTCGTTAATGTCTTTCTCAACATGCCCAACATTGCTTCATCCTAAATACGACAGGATGACTTTTTCTGTCAGCCTTTTTTATAATTTAGACTTTTATTCTAGTTTAGATCTAAAAGCAGACGAGAAAACTCCTAAACACCATTTTCCATCATCTGCTCTGCCAGGTCTCTTCAGGTTCACCTTCTGTTTTTACAGACGCTTTCAAATCCCTAAAAGCTAAACCAAATGTTTTTTTCTCAGCAACGATCAGAAAGGAGCTGAGGAGACACACCTGTGCAGGAGGATCCTCAGCGTGACCATGTGGTAAACATCCAGCAGCATGTCGGCCACCGTGGCCTCAGGAGCGTCTGTCAGGTAGTGGATGGGCATCGGCTTCCACCGCCCTACTTTAATAATGCCTGCAGAACACACACACACACACACACACACACACACACACACACACACACACACACACACACACACACACACACACACACACACACACACACACACACACACACACACACACACACACCATTAGCTGTATTCATGGTCCACAGTTTTCCAACCAGGAAGTGTGTGTGTGTGTGTGTGTGTGTGTGTGTAGCTGAACACACTCATCTTTAATGCGACCTCTAGTTGGAAGTGCAAACCTAAACAGACATGATCAGATTAGGATCTCCTAAATCAAACGCAGACTCGGTCTAACCTTCGCCTGCCAGTGTGTGTGTGTGTGTGTGTGTGTGTGTGTGTGTGTTCTCCGTGCATGGATGGTGGGGATAGGGGTGTAAGAACAAAGATGGCTCTTGTTGGACTCCAGCTGATTAATCGGAGGAGAAATGAAACATCAGAGCATCGTTGGAGAAAATCACGACTCAGATGTGATCAGTGATGTGATGAGGTCATCGTTGGGGTTTCTGAGCGGTACTGAGAGTTTACAGCTGCTGACTTGTTTCTAACCCTGGCCTGGCGTGTCAGGACGACCTCAACGAGCGGCTGACACTGGGGTACCTCCACCTATCTGTAAACTTCTGCACACTAGAGCTAAACAAGCATGGTTATGCTAAAGCGTTAGCATCCTTTACAGGCCCGGGGCTGCTCAGATCCAAGTATCACACGGAGTTGGAGCCATTCTAGTCGCATCCTACAGATAAAAGCTCATAGTGGTTGGACCTTTATTCCAGCCGCCTCTCCAGGCTGCACTAACGGTGCTACAGCTAGCTGCTGCTAACGCCACTTCCATCTCTCCATCCTTCCTCAGCAGGGTCTTGGGGGGCTGCTGTCTGTCTCCAGCAGGTTAGCGTCGTCTGAAGGCACAGGTCATTACGCTAGTTAGTTAAGCTTCCTATATATTAAGACCCAGTAGATTGCACCGAGTCACTGACTTGTTGTGTCAGAGTCTTTACATCAATCCCCTTACTAAGCAAGCATGTAGCGACAATGGAGAGGAAAACTCCCCTTCAACAGGAAAGGCCCTCCGACACACAACCAGTCACACTTGGGACAATTTAGAGCCTCCATTTAACCTGATGTGTTTCGGGTCTGTGGAAGGAAACCTGCCCACGCAGGAGGAGAACATGCACCTGGGATTCAAACTTGCAACCTCCTTGCTGCGCGGCAACAGTGGTACTATATATCTACTCGCAGCTACTAACACACCAAAATCAGGGTAAGTATCTGTAGAAATGGCCGACTCATCACCATTTAGCTGTTAGCTAGAGTTAGTTAGCTATGGCGGCCATCTTGAATTTGGTTCATTCTTGTGCTTCTTTAAAATCCACCCAGTGGTGCATCCACACAGGCAAAAACATCCCAGCCAACCTTCATCTTTCTGCAGCAGGTAATAAAACGATCCAACAGGTGTTTTGCTTCAGAGCTGTGGGTCAGAAAACATTCTCGGATTATTTTAGACACGCTCTTGGTTGTTTTTGGGATTCGATTGAGGTTTTTAAGCCCCAAAATGAGACGTTCCCATTTTAGAAGCAGCTTTTGTACGAGTGTGTCCACGACAAGCCTCAATGTTAGCTTATTTTACTTAGCGAGTCACCTCTGTCCATGTAAGCAGAACCTTCTTCTCCATCGAGACATAGCTGCTGCTTAATCAGCCGTGGAGGAAAAGCTGAGGAGTTTAAAAATAAAGCCAGCGAGATGCAACTCAATCAGAGAAGAAAATAGAAGAGACTCCGTATAATTTTGGTTGCAACCACACTGGAGGAAAAATGCTCCACTCCAGCCAGGAATTATTTATTTGAAAAGAAAAGGCTTATTTCTCAGAACAAAACCCAGAGAGGCGAGGGGGGGTCGCAGGGCGTCGGCCACTCGGTTACAGTGCCCTGTGTTTACGGGACACACCAGGAATGTGTGTGTGAACGGAGCGATAAAGCTCTAGATGAGGACACGTTCTGGTCCTAGATGGACAGATACCACCTCACTGTGGGGCAGGACGAGTCACACGAGCAGATCAGAGATACAGAAGCAGACATTCATCTCTCAGATACCGTTCTGCAGCTGGGTGACGGTTCCAGCGCCCGCTGCACCCACACATCTGGGCAGCAGACATGTTTTATTCATTTATGGACGTAAATTTTTAATGCCTCATCCATTACATCCGTGGGAGAGAAGAAACACGATTTCCTTTCATAGAAAAGAAAGACGCAGCTCTTCTGAAGGTGTGATACACGACACCCACTTTTTGTTCAGTGAGACGTTCATGAACCACTGAGAGAAACTTCAGGGACACACTTACCACGTGCCTGTGCTGCTGAGCTGTGAGAGTATCCCAGAGCCACCAGAGCCGTCTCCACCAGCTGGGTGAACAGGACGTCTTTACGGACCAGGACAAACTCAGCATGGTGGTCGCCGCCGCGTCCGTCGTATTCACCGGCCGTGTCGGCGTGCTCCACCACGCAGTAGACCGGGATCATCAACCCTGGGGGACAGAGACAGTTACTGGACCAGGACTGATGGTGACCTGGCTTTATTGCTGCTGGACTTTTAAGTAATAATTTGGATCTTTTTATTTAGTGGTTTATTTAGGATCAGATGGCTCGTGTTAGCATTAGCTCGTTGTTAGCGTGGGGTTGTTAACGGAAGCAGGAGGAGAAGCAGAGAACTTGTTTAGTTGCTTGGTGGTCTTCCTCCCCGACTCCGATTAAACTGGAGAGCTGCTTGTGTGCATGTCACTCATCAGCTCGTACAAGTGCGTTTGTACCACAACCACAGATTCAAACCCACATGGGGTAAAAGTCGTCGCCACAACGGGAGAGGTCACACACGTCCCCGGGCACGGCCTCGGACCTGTTGTTGGGCCAGAGCTCTCTGGAACCGTGGAGATGTTCACACCCATCCCGTCCACCAGCCGGTCCCACAGGAGCTGTTAATTAGTGAGCCATCAATCCTGCTGCTGACGAGGACATGTGGGTCCGAGCCAAGCCACAGCAGCACCAGGCACGCTATCGGCCAGGAACCCGACCTCCCCACGGAGGGGTGGAGGGAGTGTGTGTGTGTGTGTGTGTGTGTGTGGTCAACTTGTCCCCAGCCGACTGTAAGGTGCTCCCCTCCTCTAACGTTAACAGACTCACATATTACAATACAGAGATTTTTCCCACCTTTTTCAGGTCCTTGAACGCACCATAGCCCGTTTACAACAATTATAAAATCCACGACCGTACGAGCTAACTCAGCTAGCAAGGACAAACCTTTCATGGAGGTTTTTGCTTCCAGAATAATAATTTTCAATCTGACATTTAAAGACAGGAAGTGATCTGGAATCTGCGAAAATGGGAATCGGCCCTTCACACAGAAATCGGTGCATCTGTGCAGGCAGCCACATTCTGGAGGAATTATGTAGATTTAGGATTATTAGATGGCGTTACTCAGGGTTAGGGTGTACCTCGCATAAAATCTGAACAGAAAGACACATTTAGTCTTTTAAATTTCTCAGGTTTCGTCCGAGTCGCATTAAATGAAGTCTTCTCGTCTTCACCATCATCTTCAGTAAGGTGAGTGAAACAGTTCCCGTCATGTCTCACCTGCTAGCGGTCTCAGGGGCGTGGTGCCGTTCTGCCGGACTGTTGGGTTTGCCGGGCTGCCGTTCACCTCCACGCGGCTCACCTTGCACTGCGGAGGGCCGCAGGAGGCCGGGCTCTCCCCCTTGGCCCCTCTCTCCTCTGGGCTGGGACTGTCCTGGAGCCTGGGGCTCTCCGTCCCTCCTCCACCCTGCTCCATCCCTCTGCAAACGTCAGGCGGAGCAGCCAGCATGGCGTGGGAAGCTGGGACAAAAACACAAGACGTCCGTCAGCTTCCCCACAGAAAATCTTTGTCTTTCGCTGATGCAGCAGCAGGTTTCTGATGTCGTCCCTCTGCAGTAAACAGGTCTGTTTATTTACCAGAGGAGGCCACAGCAGACTAAATACAGACCTGTTTATGATGCTGTGTTTGGACACGCAGCAGGTTGGGATGAAAGATGGAGGCGACGCTACAAACTGTAGTTATGGACACAAATAAATAAAACTGCTCTGAGTAAAGGTTTGAGGTTCATCGTTAGTGTAAATAGAAGCTCACCGTTTCAGATTTGAGCTTTTACTGAAGGTTTAAACGACGAACACTTTTCCTCCACATGATGCGCCCTGAGAACCGATTCCTCGTGTGTCATCACTTATGTACATTTTTGTCCCTTAGTTGTTCCCGTAGCCCTACACTCTGAGCTTTAACAGCTCCGACACAGACGAGCTTCGCTTCAGAGAAACGAGGAAAAAATCTAAATCTGCTCCCGTTTCTTTTCACCTCCTAATCCCAATCCCAGTTAGGGAAATTTCACCAGCGGACTTGAGTGACAAAGACACGTCAAGAGGTCGGCCATATTGGAATGACAAACACTGGCTTTTTAGGTGTTTTTTTGTGACTCGAGGCTGGAGCAATAAAACACAATCATAAACATCGTGTGTGTATTTATACACCAGCGAACTGATATAAACGTTATATGAAGTCCTTTTGGACCTAAAATACTGATTTATGGCTTTTTCTGTTTTGTTTCCTTCAGAATTAAACCAATTCTAAAAACAATTATAATAATTAAATAAATAGTGATGATTCTTTTATGTGAAAGTACAACTGTGGGTGCAGCAACCCCACACTCTGATGGTAAACAGTTACTAGTTAATATCGATACAGCAATATATCGCAATGTTTGTTCCTGTGATATATCGATATTCAAAAGCCGTGTTTCAAATTTTTGGAAGAATTTAAATGCAAACATTTGTGTATTTTCTTAACTTTTGGTGTAAATCAAACGCCGACTGCTAGCTGCGTATACGTACCCACATTTCTCAATTCCAGACGCAGATTTGTTAAAGCCTGCCTACTATTCTATTTATTGTAATTTTATTTGTTCTTATATGTTTTTATTTGTTTTTTATATACTTAAATGCTTTTATGTCTTTGTTGTTGTGCTCTTGTACCATTTTCCGAGGCTCTTGGCCAGGTCACGTTTGTAAATGAGAACTTGTTCTCTAACATTTTACCTGGTTAAATAAAAAAAGTTGGCAGCTGTGTAAAATGGGATTTGTTTCCACCACTGAAAGTTAAATCCCTCTATTATGCCTCATGTTAAATCTGCTTGGACTGTTTATTGAATTTTCTGTCTAAAACAATCGCTAATATCATCTGGCTGAATGTATCGCAATGTGTCGTGATATATTGTATCGTCTCCCCTGTATCGCAATACGTATCGTACCACCAGAACACATCCCTGGTGGTTACGTCCCTCCTTCTTTTGATTTGAAAGGAGAAAAACTGACAACCCAGCAGCTGGATAGGAAATGTGTTTCAGTAGAAACGTCCTTCCAAAATGACTGAAACATTAGACTCTTTTGGGATTTTCTCACTGTAAAATTCTCACTATATTCTTACATACTGCACCTTTAAACCTTTCCTGCAACATTAAGCCCCGCCCCCTTTCCGAGACCTCACACATCAATACCCCCCTCTAGATCCGCCCCTGGTGTTACATTATTTTAGTGAATTTAAACCATTTAGTAGGTGAAACAGCTGCTATGGATGTTTAGCTCTTTAATAATTAATAATTAAAGGGGATTTTACGAGGAAATGTGGCTTTTCCAGAGATCGTTTCTGTTCTGGATCGACACCCAGAGTCTCTCGCCACCCTTTCCCTTTCACCCTGCAATCCTTCAGCATCATCTAATGACCCGATCCAAAGTCTAAAACATTTAAGACATCAGCGCTGTCCAAACATGCCAAAATGTCTTTGCTTTGCACTTTGCTGCACAGGTTTGACGTCCATGACAGGTCACACGTGTACAAAGTGCTCCCTCTCTCTCCCAGCTGGAGGTTCATCTGCTTCTAATAAACACGTTTTTGGAATATTTGGGGGTAATGGATTACAATCAGCCCCTTCCCTTGCTCACATTTCTTCCTCTAACTGGAGCAATTATCAAGCCATTAATGAGGAGACATAAAATGTGGGAGGGAGGCGGGGAAAGCAGGAAACATTAGGAAACACGATGAATATGATGGAAAAGGGAAATGATTCTGTGGTTTAAAAGGACATTTATGTTTTCCTCTTTTTGGCGTCTGACTGCTTAAATAGTAATAAAACAAATCTAATTATTTCTATTGAAACAGTATGAAAAATTCCTTGTTCTGACTACCAAGTCTCGTGGGTTTTTCATCATTCAGATCCCAAAGGACTTTATCACTGTGATAATGGGCAAAAACACAGATGACACACAGATCACAACATGCCCTATAGGTTATAAATTGTAAGTCACTATGGATAAAAGCGTCTGCTAAATAAATAAACATAAACATAAAAACATCAGAAAGGCAGTTTTGTAGAGATGCACCAATTTTGGTTTCAAAGACCGATACCGATTTCCCTCCGCAACTCTGTAAATCACGCCGTTTTGTGGCCTCTGCATTATAGTAAAAAAATAAAAAATAAACAATGATAAATCTGGTCATTGAACATCACGTCTTACATCCCACAGCCGTTCTCCTCATCCCCACAATGGATTAAATGACTTTTTATGCTGACAAAATAAAACTTAATGTTCTTAATGCTGTGGACACATTACGGGGCTGATCGAGGACGTCACCCACTACCGAAGAGGTCGTGATACACTGACGTCCGGAAAGGGCCAATCTTGTATGGAGACACAAATACCGAGAAAGTCATCGTATTTGCCCGTTCCACCCTAAGAAATTTCCCAGAACTCCTATAACGGAAACATAGTTAATGGAGGTGAATGTCTGATGTGAGTTTTGCCCTCGTTCTGCCACTTTTCACAAGCACAAACACTTTTAAACAAGAGGAACGTGAGTTTGGCATAAGAAGAGCCGAAGGATCTGTTATTCTGAAATTATATTAAAAAAGAGCCTAATCACTAAATAGGATGTGACTAAATCATTGTAGATTTAAACTTTGTCTGATTTTTGCTCTGAATAATAACAATAATAATACCTGTGATTTTTACACACAAAATGATGGTAAATATCAATAATAAGGGCTGTAGCACACTTTAAAATGACAGATTTGGTGTGTGTAGAGCCAAGAGGCCACACACTCCAGCAGAGACGCCATCCGCTTTACAAGCACACGTGGAGGCCAAATGTCACACACTCTGTAGCCTCTGACTGACACACACACACACACACACACACACACACACACACACACACACACACACACACACACACACACACACACACACACACACACACACACACACACACACACACACACACACACACAGTCCTAATGTAAATTAGGATGATAATCTGGGTTCTCCCAACACTCCTGATCAAACACTGTAAGCAGAAGATTTTACAGCATAACTGGAATCACAAACATTTTACTTTAGGAAACCAAAAAGAATGGTTAATACCACCAATATTTCCAATAATTTGGTCTAATTAAAAGGCTAAAAATCCAAACGAAACATTCATCCCACCATAACAAAACCCCTACTAGTTTAGACTTTCTTTGGTTGTAAAAAATCCTATTAGCTGTTTATTTGACCAGTTTAGGTGACTTATTTTTAAAGTTTGAATTCATTTGTCAGCCAAAAAGATGCTACTTAGTAAAACATGATTTATAGTTTCATTTATTTCAAACTCTATTTCTGTTTAGTTTTCCCACTGAGTCTCAACTGGTTCTTTCAGCCAAACTCATAAGCGGCGAATTCTATTCAAAAATCTACTAATTTAACAAAAATCCAGATTGTTTTCAAATAAACAAATCCAAAGTGAAAAATGAACATTTGACCTTTATGATTACGTCACCAAGTATAATTCGTCATAAATATTAGCTAACCTTTCCTAGCTGTTTTGCTGTATCAGGGCTCGACCTTCACCCGGAGAGGGAGCTCGGGACGCGGCTGAAAAGTGAGCAGAGTCGCAGTGAAACCGGGTCGGGGGCACCGAGAACGCAGCTGCAGCTAATAAATTAGGCTAATAACGGCGCCGTTTGATCCACGTGTGCCACTTGAACCGTAAAATCCAGAGTAAGTGACCTCAGTCTGAGTTGGTTTAGCGAAAAAGAAAGAGGAAAAAAACACAACGTTAGCAAAACAACCTTTGGTTTATGCTCGCGCGCCCTAATCAAACAATGTTATTAGCTGTTTGAGCTCAGACACGAGAGGGCTTTAAGCTTAAAAACAAGATCGCTTTAAATAAGTTTTATATGTGGGAATAAAAAGAGTTTTGGTCCACTAACTTCTTTATTATCTGTTCACAAATGATTATTTTCTGTTTTAGCACAAATGTGCTGATTTATAATTTATCCTGTTTTTAATACATTTTCTGTATTTTGAGTTGGCTACTGGGGCATTTTCAAAATATAAATACTCTCTTATTTAATTAGATTTTCCCCTTTTAAAAAACTGAAACCTGCAAGTTATTAATCTGAGAGGAAATCATTATTAAAGGTAATATTTGAGAGAAATATTGCACTGTAAAAAATGATTAAAAATGTTATTTTGGAGCATAACTGGTGCATTTTCCAGTGCGATTACCTGGGTAAGGAATGCTGAATCGTGCTTATTTCAGTGATAAATTCTCACACATCTAATTAAAAAACAGCTGTGTTAAAACAGCTGTTTATTCTGCATGAATGGATCAAATCACCGTTTCTGCTGCAGACAAATAACTTTTTGAAATGAGAATAAAAATTTGACTCACTTTTTATGAAGTCTCTGTGCAGGCTTGGCGACAAAGTCCATCCATTGGTGAAAACGAGTGACTCCAGCCTGAGAGAGGGAGAACTTCCTAATGTTCTTCAGCCTGAGCAGAGCAGAAGCAGGAGAGGACAGATGGAGATGGACTGCTGCTGCCGGCTCACAAAAGAGAAGTAAAGTGACACATGTGGAGAGAGGAGGGGGGAATGGGTGGGATGGATGGAGGAGGCAGGAGGAGGAGATGAGGGAAATCCAGGAGCAAAGTTATTAACATTACCCTATCTAAAACAGATATTTAACCCTAACTACAACAGACAACCAATGTGAAGACTATAGAGGAGTGAATTCATTTGTTCATGAGCGATGAGATCACATATTTAGAACTATTCATTCATGTCCCAGATGCTGTGATGGCTGACAGCAGGAGGAAGAAAAACGGGAACAAAGCTAGAAAACGGTGATTAATGTCAGAGAAGTCATCAGAACTTCTGACTAAAGATCCATAAATGACAAAAGATGCCCAAGAATTTAAAATATGTCCTAGATGGACCAAACGGGACAGTGTCTTCCCTCTACTGGTGAGAAAATAGAACTCAATATGACTAAATGTGGATTTTACTGAACTAATAGCAACAACAAAAGGTTTTCTGTCACTTCTCTTGGTCTTTTCTTCACATCTACACATTTTTATCCATAAAACAAAATGTTTCTCTCTTAAAAAGCTGTTTTAAAGGAATTCTGACCTGCGTTTGTTGAAATGAACAAACAAAAAGTTCAGTTTTTCCTGCGTTCTTTAGAATAATGACAGAACACACACATCTCTTTTAACCAATGTGTTGTCAGGATGGCTTTTCTCCTGTTTTATGATGAAAAACCTTTTTCTCACTGAGCAGGAGAGACGAGGAGATGTGGACAACAGCCTGACTGCTCACAGGTCAGAAGAATCTTGATCATTACATTTAAACGTTTACCGTCTGTTCATCATTCATGTGTTCATTTGTCTGAACGGCAGCCGACTGCAGATCAGCTCTTTGATTTATTTGTGATGGAAGAAAAGTCACCATCATTACTGCTCAGCCTGTCTGCCTCCTCCTCTGTGGTCTCTCTCTCTCTCTCTCTCTCTCTCTCTCTCTCTCTCTCTCTCTCTCTCTCTCTCTCTCTCTCTCTCTCTCTCTCTCTCTCTCTCTCTCTCTCTCTCTCTCTCTCTCTCTCTCTCTCTCTCTCTCTCTCTCTCTCTCTCTCTCTCTCTCTCTCTCTCTCTCTCTCTCTCTCTCTCTCTCTGTGTGTGTGTCCAGCTTCACTCTAAATGTGTTTGACATGAGGTTTATGTGTGTGGGAACTTCCTTTTCCAGACTTGAACGAACACGGTTCAGATCCCATCAGCTCAGATTGATAACACTGATTTCACATACATGTGCTTTTTTCACACACACACACACACACACAGCCTAACTGGGGTCTAATCTACTTGATTGTCTAGAGATCATTTCCTAATAATTAGCTAATTATTTACTTTAAAAAGTGCAAGAAAACAACATCACATAAATCCTCCAGATGAGGGTGATATGTCTCTAGCTTTGTTGTAATTAACAACTTCAATAAGTTAAAATAACTTAATTTACCTGGAAAGGTAAATAATCTACCTGCAGTATCAACAACAATGCTTTAGCCTGAAAAGTTGCATAACTAATACATGAATGAATACATATTGTTCTTTTTAGAGGTTAAAAGCAGTTTAAATCATTTAATAAGGAAGAAAATGTATTTTGTGGCATTAGGAATAGTTTAAATGTGTGTAAAAGACACAAAAGCAAAGAAAACAAGTTCCAGTTATTATGGAAATGCTGCCATCTTGTGGCGTCTGTGGCAATGACACACAAAAACAAGACGTTTGAACGTTTGACGTACTGTATATGTATGTCGATGGTTTGAACAGAGCAGAGAGACATGACACCTCAAGTCTTTATCCTTGTTTCAAGTTCCCTTTTTCTAAACAGATCCTATTGTAACTTTATTCTTGGCTTTATTATCTCGATGCTGTCTTCTTCCTAACGGACCCATCCACCGTTTCCAGCTAAAACGTGATGCAGTTGGCCAAATCTGAACACATTTCTAATTTTACCAAAGGACCAAAGCTAACCACAGCTCATTGGTTCTTGCTGCCTAACTATTTGTTTTGAGTAGGTTTAAGCTGAAGGACCTGCTGATGATCAGCAGATATGTGAGCTGACGTTGGTTCCTAAGCTATGTGTGGAGAGTGTTTCCAGTTCCCCTCAATGAGATGGGCCGTGGGTTTTCGAAGCGTAACTCGGCTTGTTTCTGGGAAGTATGAGTCAACGTCGGAGTCTGCACCAGATCCTACGATAGAAGATAGAAAAGTACAAAGAATACCCGGGTGTTCACATTCATTATAGTAGTGGGTAATACTTTACAATAAGAGTTCCTTTATTAACGCTACTTAGTGCATTAAGCGTTAATAAACAAATTAATAACAACTGCTTAGCCGTATGAAGTAATGCATTACTAAGCATTAATAACTAATAACAACTGCTTAACCGTATTAAATAAATGCATTACTAAGCATTAATAACTAATTAATAACAACTGCTTAACCAATTAATGCATTATTAAGCATTAATAAACTGATAACAACAGCTTAGCCATTAATTAATGCATTATTAAGCATTAATAACTAATAACTGCTTATCCGTATTAAGTAATGCATTACTAAGCATTAATAGCAAATTAATAGCAATTGCTTAACAGATTAATTTGTGCATTGTTAAGCATTAATAAACTAATAACAACTGCTTTGCCATATTAAGTAATGCAATACAAAACATTAATAACTAATAACAACTGCTTAACCTATTAAGTAATCATTACTAAGCATTAATAACTAATTAATAACAACTGATTATTCATATGAATTAATGCATTATTAAGCATGAATTTACTAATTAATAACAACTGCTTAGCCATATTAAGTAATGCATTACTAAGCAATAATAACTAATAACAGCTGCTTAACCATATTAAGTAATGCATTATTAAGCATTAACAATCAATTAATAACAACTGATTAACCAATTAATTAATGCATTATTAATGATTAATTAACTAATTAATAACTGATTAGCCAATAAGTAATGCATTACTAAGCATTAATAACTAATTAATAACAACAACCACTTAAACCATATTAAGTAATGCATTACTAAGCATTAATAAACCAATGAATAACAACTGCTTAGACATATAAAATAATGCATTACTAAGCATTAATAAACTAATTAATAACAACTGCATAACCGTATTAAGCAGGGCTTAATTTAAGCTGGATCTTGCCATAACAAGATCCGGGAACTATCTTATTTTGAAAGGACCGTTCCAGCAACCGTCTGCTAGGATCCGGCAACTCGCGACAAACTTGAGCTACACGCAGGATTGGAATTACGGGTGAGCTATGGAGCTCCTGGAAGCCCTCAACACACCCAGGGGGAGCCCGAAACGATCCTGGTTCTACTTATATTACATTATTCATGTGGACTCTCTGGGATTATTTAGAGCTGAGAGGCGCAGAGCTCTGATCGTTGACGCGCTCCAGACAGATGCGTCCTGAGCACGGCCACAGCAACATTCACAAAGTGTCTCCACCTCAAAAACAAATTTAACACATGATTGTTTATGTCGGCTCATATCCTTTCATGCTTTCTGTCTTTTATCTGTGCCTGATGCGTTTTACTGCTGCATTGCAGAGCGCATCACCTGTTTCGTCCTCCGGTGAATTCACCTTGGTGCGGTCAGCGTGCACTCCGCTATTTTTGCTGTCGGTAGATCTTTTTGAACTGCAGTTCAAATGTAATGCATGAGTTGAATATATATGAAGCCAGGAGCAGTTTTTCTTTAGGATTGAGAGGAGATGCAGGAAGATAATAGAGACAGGACAGAAAAATAGTCACATAAAAAACAAGTTAGTTTTTGTACCTGGTTGCAACAAACAGACACCATTGAAGGTAATCAGAAGTGAGGAACAGAAAATGAAATAATTATTTCAATGTTTAGATCAGCAGGAACTCTGAAAGGCTGCAGGCGCATCAGTGAGTTTGTGGCCACTGCGCGGGGGGTGGGGTGGGGGGGGGGGGACTGGGACATTTATTCAGGCTAAGAATGTTGAAACCATCCCAGGCCACTGCCCAATTCATGCTAAACACTAAAAGTGGGTCAGGTTGGGCGCCTACTGATGTAACAACACATTCTCACACCCAAGGCGTCTAAATATGACGCGTGACCAAGCCTCAATATATGACGATTTGGGACGCCCCAGCACATCAGTAGATGGTGATTAGGGACATGCTGGGTCACGTGGCTCCGCTGGTGTCACTGTTTGACGCGCGCTGTCACACGGATATTATTTGACTATTTACCCTTCCCCTCACCCCAATCCTAACCTTAAAGTCCAAAAACTGTGACCTTAAGGTTAGGATTGGGGTGAGGGGAAGGTTAAGTAGTTCACAAGTAGTTCTAATGTCCGTCTCACCACCGGCGTCGGATACCAACGCTCTGGGACGCTGCATCATCAGTTTGTCCCTGATCGTCGTCTACTGACTCGCTGGGGCGTCCCGAATCGTCATATATTGAGGCTTGGTCACACGCGTCATATTTTGACGGATGTAAAACTGTAAAACAACTAAATTAAAACTTCACGTGTGCCCTGATGCTTTACTCTAAAATATAAATATTTGTTCCATGCTGTAGTTCTTTTTTAAAATGCAGAACAGTTTTGTTTACCTGTTTTCCCGCTACGTTTCATTTGCGGCTGCAAACTTCCTCAGGCTGACGCTGATGGTGGCGTCACTTCCTTCTCCGTTTATCCGCTGGCAGCAGAGGACGTTGTCGCCCTCTGCTGCCCGCTTTCCCTCTCCGACGATGCAGTCCCATGCGCGGTCCAACGTGTAAACTCCGTCGTCCCTGTTCATGGTCCCACATCCACGTCTCCTTATCTCGATTTCTTCTTTTATCCATCTTTTGTATTTTTGTTGTTCGGTGTTTACGATCCTTGTCTTGTCCCAGTCCATGATATGGTTTTCTCTTGTGCAGTGATCTGTTACGGCTGACTTCTTTATTGTGCTTTCTGCTTCTTCTTTTGCTGCTCTTGTGTGTTTTCGACTTGCCTCTTTCTCGCACTCCTTTCTATGTTCTATTGTTCGTGTGTTGAGTTGGAGTCCGGTTTCTCCTATGTATGTTTTATTGCAGAGTTTGCATGGGATTTCGTAGATGACTCCACATTTAAGTCCAGCTGATATTTAGTCTTTTGGGTGCACTAGTCTGTTTCTAACTGTTGCGTATGGCTTTGTTGGTGTGTTTATGTTGTGTTTTTTTCATTGTTGCTCTTATTTTTTCTGTTATGCCTTTGATGTATGGTAACGTTATCACTGGTTTTGGTTCTTGTCTTTCTGGGTTTCTGGTTCTTTGCTTAGGTTGTTTTTTTCTTTCTGTTGTTGTTTGTTGTTTTCCTTTGTTTATTGCCCATGTCGGGTATCCGCAGGTCTTTAAAGCGTGTTGTATGTGTTTGTCCTCTTGTTTACGGTCTCTCTCTTCTGTTATTATGTTTGCTCGGTGATATAATGTTCTGATTACTGACATTTTGTGTATGGTGGGGTGTTCTGATGTCCATAATAGATATTGGTCTGTGTGTGTTGGTTTCCTGTATGTGTTTATGTTTAGGGTCCCGTCGGTCTGCCTGGTTATTTTCATGTCCATAAATGCTATGCTGCCTTCTGTTTCTGACTCATGTGTGAACTTTATGTTGCCTGTGTCATCAATGGTATTCAAGTGTTGTGTTTCTGTTTGTCCTTTTGGTATGATTTCCAGTATGTCGTCTACGTAGCGTTTCCATAGTTTTATTTTGCAGTTGGGGGGGTGGTGGCTATGGCTTTTTGCTCTAGGTCTTACATGAAAAACTCGCACAGGGTGGCTGATAACGGGTTACCCATGGCGAAGCCTTCCAGTTGTTTGTATATTGTGTTGTCATTTGTGAAGTAAGTGGAGTTAGCTACCAGTCCTATCAGTTGTGCTATGTCATCTGCTGTGAGGTTTGTCCTTTTATGTAAAGTCTTGTCCTGTCTGATTCTGTTAACTACTATGTCTATGGTTTTATGGGTTGGTGTTTTTGTGAACAGAGATGTGACGTCATGTGAGATGAGTATGTCGTTGTCTTCTATTGTAACCTCCTTTGGTTCTTTTGCCAGATCTATGCTGTTTTTGCAGTGTTGATCTGTGTTTCCTTATAACGGGCTGATGATTTTGCTGATATCTCTTGCCATGTTGTATGTTGGTGTACCTATGCTGTCAACTATTGGTCTAAGTGGGGTCTTTAGTTTGTGTATTTTTGGCGTTCCATAGACTCATGGTGTTATGTTTGCTGTAGGAATCCAGTGTTTGTACATTTTCTCTGTTATTTTGCCTTGTTCTTGTAGTGGCATCAGTAATTTTTTCATGTTTTTCTTAATGTTTTCTGTTGGGTCTTTTTAAAGTATTTTGTATGTATTTTTGTCTTCTAACATCTGTTTCAAGGATCATAAACACCGAACAACAAAAATACAAAAGATGGATAAAAGAAGCAATCGAGATAAGGAGACGTGGATGTGGGACCATGAACAGGGACGATGGAGTTTACACATTGGACCGCGCATGGGATTGCATCGTCGGAGAGGGGAGAGCGGGCAGCAGAGAGCGGGCAGCAGAGGGCGACAACGTCCTCTGCTGCCCGCGGATAAACGGAGAATGAAGTGGCGCCACCATCAGCGTCAACCTGAGGAAGTTTGCAGCCGCAAACAAAACGTAGCGGGAAAACAGGTAAACAAAACTGCTCTGTGTTTTAAAAAAGATCTACAACATGGAATTAGAGATATGACACAGAACACACCTAAGATATAAATATTTGTGTTCTGCTGCTATAATCTGTGCTCATGTTGCGTAAACTGAAATTTTATTTCATTCTGTTAAACGTGCCTCCTGTACATTAGATGAAATAGGCCAGACACCATCATCCACCTGAATTTAACAGGTACCAGACTAGAGAATCACACCACAAGCAGAGACGTAAACAAGTGTGTGTGTGTGTGTGTGTGTGGGGGGGGGGGGGGGGGGGGGCTGCGTCATTAGTGTCATTTAGGTTTACAGTGTAGTAGGCACAGATTAAATGGACAGCCTCAACAATGGAAGAAGCCTTTTGCAGATGCACACATCTCTGACATCCATATATACTGACAGACCAGTATATATGGATGTTTTCCTCATAATATTCATATAAACACCAATAATAATACTAGGGGTTTAAAGACTGTGAACCAAAGACAAAATAAGCCAGAGGTGAAGGTTTATGCATTTAACAAGAAATGTCATAAATGATCATCAGGGCTGATGTGAAATCTAAAGATCATTCCAGGTCAGAATTATCATCTCATCTGTCTCACGATCAGCAGCAGCTGGATGTTTATGGCCACAACATTTCAAGTGAAGTGACTCCTTTTATGTCTTGTGTTTGCTCACGATCCATATTTCCGTTTAGAAACCGTTTCTCCTGCATGGATGTACCTGCCTGCCAGAGCGTTTAACCACTGGTTGGTCAGCTGATGCTGCTGTCAGTCATTGCAGGAAAGTGTACGGTGTGGGTTTTGCCTTGGAATGTTCCGGCATCTGTTTTGCCTTTAGTGAACTTTGGTTTGACGTCAGTATCTGCGTTCCGGGAACGTTCGATTTACAAATTAATCACTGGTATTAAGTAATGCATTACTAAGCAGACACCCCCTCGGCCCTTTGTCCTAACCTTAAGGACACCTAATAATTCATTTGTAAAGTATTACTTAAAAGTGTTGGTACAATGGTTTAAAAATTCAAGTATTTTACTCAAGTAAAAGTAACAAAGTACAACTTAAAGTATTAAAAGTCAAAGTAAAATACAGTTAACAAAATAAAAAAGGCCAGGAAAACTAATCATCATCATATTGTTCTTCTGGACCATGCCCTGCTGCCTAAAATAATGAAAATCTCTTTCCTAATCCCGTTTGTTGGGCTCTGTAACGAGCAGCCAGCCGGCTCGGTTGTGGGTCTGGTCCTCCGCATGTCCCCACAAGGGCCGGCCTCTTAGCTCTGGGCTCTTCTGGATGTCTACCAAGCCTGACCTTCTACTGTGTTACCAGTGATGTAATTGTATTTAATCCCATAAACACCAAATATTTGTTTAAAATAATGTTTTGTTATATTTGAAGTTACTGGACTTAGTCGCAGTCCTGTATTTTAAATCTTAATGAGTTTTTTTAATCCCTAACAGCAGTAATACACTATATCCCTTTAATCCATACCCTGTCTGTAACTGATGGATCGAGACAGGTTTTCTGTCACAGGTGGAAGAGGAAATGAGAAAATCACGCTTGAGATGTTCTGGCCCGAATGCGGCTCAGTTCTTTTAATCTTGCAGAGAAGTTCAGCCGAGGGTCCCAGATGAGGCGGTGGGGTCAGGGGTGACCAGGGGTGATCGCCTGGGGACTCATCTGGGTATTCTTTATTTATACTAAAGGTTCCACCTTAAGGGTGGCCTCAGTAATAAACCTTTTTGTTGATGAGTAACTAAGCATCTCTAGTGTGTGGCAGCAAACCCCGATGGGGCGGAGACCTCTGGAAGGTCATTTTAGACATTTTCTGGTGAGAAACTGGAATAAGCCAGTGAGTGGTCGGGCCTATCCTGAGCTCCTGAGCTGCAGGTTTCTAACACGGCCTTCAGAGGCATAGCACATCAAAAATAGACTCGAAACGTGGGGGCAGCAGGAGCTCACCTGGTTGAGGAGGGTTGTCCAGTAATCGGAAGGTTGCAGGTTCGATCCCGGCTTCGGACAGAGAGTTCTGCTGTTGTGTCCTTGGGCAAGACACTTAACTCAACTTGCCTGCTGGTGGTGGTCGGAGGGACGGGTGGTGCCGCTGTCAGCGCGCCCCAGGGCAGCTGTGGCTACATGGTAGCTCATCACCATCATTGGATGAATGATGTACTGTAGTGTAAAGCGCTTTAGAGACTCTGACAGGCGCTATACAAGCTAGTTAAATCTCTAAAACCTTAAATAAAAACAGACTAAAGTCAAATATGAGTCCTCTACTCAGCTCAGTCCTCTACAAACAGACGCACCTTTAAATAACTTTATTATTAGATCTTTTTAAACAGGAAACTGTTTAAAGACAACATATTTACATCGTAACTCCCAAAACCAACTGGGCAAATGTTCATCATGCAGTTGGTCGTGGTGCATGCTGGTCCGTTGTCTGTCCACTTCCTGGTTGTGTATGATCACTCTGAAGGCTGGCCTTCGTCCACGAAGCTGAGCTGGGTGCCGTGCTCCCGCAGGCCCAGCGGGGGTCTCTGGGAGTCGGGTAGAGGTTCTGATAAGTCCACCAGGAGGGGAGAGGTGAATGATGGGTGGCTGGATGAAGACGGAGGAGGGATGGGGCAGGGATGCGAGTGGATGTGAGGAGAGCCATTAAGCGAAGGAGGAGCTGAGCAGTGAGAAAGGGGCGGAGTCATGTGATGGGAGGCGGTTCTGGGACCCCAAAGTGGATCAAAGTCTTCCTGAAGCGTCTCACGTGAGCTCAGCTGAGGGCCGAGCTCTGGGACCTGGACGGGAACAGGTGTAACATCTGGACAATCCACGGGCGTGTGTCGGGTCAGCAGGGGTGGGGCTGGCGAGCAGCTCTGAGAGGAGACGCTGGGGGGCGGAGTCATGGTGCAGGGTATCAGCAGCGAGGAAGAGTTGTGGAAAAGAGGTCTGAGGAGGCGCGTCATCTCCTGCAGCTCCTGACTCACAGAGGAGACTTGACGGGAAAGGACGCACATCTGGAGGAAGAAAGGCAGCTTTAATTAACGATAAGTTCAGTTTAATGATAAAGTTAATTTTTTTTATTCACTCATTCACTTAATCCCAACGTGATTACCTCGTGTTTTAGCTTTGCAATAGTCTGCATGGTGTCGCCTCCATCCTGGGCTCCTGAGTAAACACACGCTCATATTAAAGCTCATTGCTTCATCTGCTGCAACAGCATCATCCCTGAGCTCACCTGCAGCAGCCGACGCAGGGCTGGGTAGGAAACTCCGAGTCACACTCGGCGAAAAGTCAAACTTGTGAGTGGAAGTGCCGGGGTTCTCCGTCTCGATCCCGTCCACAAACCTGCAGCAGACCAGAGGAGCTCTCATGAGGAACATCTCTGGACCTGGTGCGTACTGTGAGTGTCCACATGGTGGCAGCAGAGACAACAAACAGGTATGAAGTGGGTCAGCCAATCGACTCCAAGCATCTGCAAAGGGTTCCTGAACCCCTAAATGAGGAGACTCCAACCCTGGTCCTGGAGGGCCGCTATTCAGCACGTTTTAGTTGTTACTCTGCTCCAGCACACCTGATTCAATGGTTACATCACCTGTTCAGCAGCTCACCAGGCTTGGTAATCACCTACTGATTAAATCAGGTTTGGTGAAGCTGAGAAACCACTAAAGGATCCACTGCGTGAGGACCCAAACGTTCATGTTTGTTAGGATGGAGCTTATAAAGGAACCTTTAATGTGACACAGCTGTTTACTGTTAAATGTCTCCAGTGAGTGTCTCCTACACCAACCTCCTGCATTAGCTCCTGATAGAAAATAGACTCTAGGGTCTACGGTTAGAAAATCCTGACAGATCTTCGTCACTTAAAGGTGCATTATGTAGAAATGGCATCCTGTGGTAAAATGTGGTTCCTGCAACCACTTTAAGCTGACGTCGTCAAATTCCACTTGTGGGTGCTGCAGCATTAGCTCTCAGGGCACACAGCACCCCCCCACTCACCGATGGTAAACAGTTGTTTCGTCCCTCCTTCTTTTGGTCTCGAAAGGAGAAAAACTGAGAACCCAGCAGCCAGCTGGATAAGAAACATGTTTCAGTAGAACCTTCCTCCCAACATGACTGAAACATCAGACTCTTCTGAACAGCAAAGAACGTCTCGGTTAGTAGAAGCTAACCGTTTGCATTAGCAACTCCACCACATAGCAGCACTCCTCCAGGCTTATGGTATTTGTGGAGATAAAACATCAACGTCACAAATCAAACAGAGTCAGTGGTAGAGTCGTGTTCCTGTTAGCCAATCAGAAGAGAGATGTACACATTTCAGGAAATATTTCCTGAAACAGGAGCACCTGAGCTTTGGTCCCACAGAGATCCACTCACAAGTCATTCATTTGCAATAGAGACCAGTGTTGGTGTGTTAGTGAACTTGGTCTTTAAAATATACTTTTTCATTCAAATTCTCTCTTCTTTAAGCAATAATCATCAGAGTTAGAGGAAAGGAAGCTGGTTTAGCTCTGTGTGCTGAATGAATTTAGTTTTTACAGTGTATCTATACAGCATCCTATAATAATAAACCCTAAAATCCATCAGCAGAGCAGCAATAAGGGAACACCTTCCTGTCAGAGTGAGCCACAGTAAGAAAAGCAATCAGAGAAAACGATAAGAGTTTCTCATTAGAGAGCTAATCAAGCCTAATATCACCAGCAAATCATTTCCAACGATCCATTAGACGCTAATCTAGATTCACCCTCGTGCCGAGCACCGGGAACACACGAATTGGGATTCCTCCCGTGGGAAGCATACATGTGCTGAAGGAATTCTGGGACAAAGTGACTGGTAAATTGTGTTTTTTGAGATGAAACACATGAGAGCATTTGAACACCGACCATAAAGATCTCAGAGTGTTTGTCGTCTTTTATCGGAGCTCCTCACAGACCTGAATCATTGTGCCTCTTTTCTTCTGGTCTGGTGAGTTTTTCAAGGAGCAAAGTTCACAAACATGTCAGAGTCCTTCTGCACCTGCACCAGAAAGCATCGTTACACAGAGAGGGCCTCCATCCGTCAACAGGTCGGAGGTCAGCTGCCCTCACCTGCATGCACAGCTCTCCTGTCCGTACGCTTACCTTTATTCAAGTGGTCCTTTTTATTTTAATCTGTAGTCAAGCATAAAGTAGTAAATACACCAAATGTATATCTTATACATTTGGGTCACATAGATGAGAACCTGAACTGATAGGGTTAGGGTCAGACTTACACACTAGTACTTTTTTTTTCCTGTTTCCGGTGCAGAGAAGCTTTGAGACATTTTGGAAACCCATAAAAGCGTCGAAATTCTGAGCCCAGTGGGTCGCTGTCTTTGAGCCTCTTTATGGCTAATTTTACTTTGTTGGAACTCAAAATCACCGTGGAGAGCTGATAAATGACCAAACAGCCTCATAACGACTGTTTTTCTCCACCCACTCAGCCGGGATTTAAATATTAAAGGAGCCGCATGCCGATTGGTCACTTTACCCCGAAGGCTCTATTACTACCTTAAGCTAGAAAGTCCGTGTACAACCATGTACCGTATCTGGAAAACTCAATAGGCAGACTATGGATCTGTCTGGCAAAGTCTGGATATTCCGACTACATCCTGGTTACAAAATAAAAGTTTGCTCTGACGCTCATCTTTGCTGTTTTCTTCTCTTCCAACAAGCACATTAGCATTAGCTCAGACTAGCGTTAGCAGTGGCTTAAGCCAGCATTAGCAGCAGTTTGGAATAGCAAGAGCAGTTGCTCAGGCTAACGTTAGCTGTGGCTGGAACTAGCATTAGCTGTAGCTTGGGCTAGCAAGAGCAGCTGTTTGTGTTAGCAGTAGCTTGAGCAAGCATTAGCTACAGTTAGCTTTAGCAGTAGCTCTGGGATAACAAGTTATTTTCAAATAACTGTGACCAGAGAGTGATGATTTAAGATTTTAAGATAAAAACAACAATAATTGTTTTTAGATAAGAGGCTTTGTTATTTTTTTATATAATCAACTTTTAGCACTATTTGAACTAGTCGTTAGCATGTCGATCTCAAACCTCATTTCTTTAAACTGAAGTTGGTCAAAGGGTTATCTATCTAATGCAGGCATTGTAACCTCCACACTAAACACCACTTCATTATTATCTCGTAGGATTCGTAAACAACTTAAAAACTATAGAAATATTTAGTACATTAAATAGTAGTAGATCTTCCAGTAGCGTGAGTAAATCCTTCCAGGTTGCCTTACCGAGGGCTGAGGTCCGTCTGCAGGCAGCTGAAGCTCACCACAGGAATCTGCAGGCTGGAGGGGCGGCTCTGGTCGCTCACCGGTCTGAAGGGTCTTGGCGGGAGTAGCGGTGATCTCAGAGGGGAGCGGAGCGGGGAGCGCAGGCCTCGCCCTAATCTGCCCAGGGAAGACATCTTGGGTAGAGGGGAGCGTTCACCCTCAGAGCCCGAACCCTCTTCATCTTCTCTAATGGATGGAAGCTTCTTCATGATGCCGCCATTGCTCTCGCAGTTTGCCTGAACGAAGAAAATCAGAACAAAAGACTCGTTCAGTGATTCTGTTTAAACTCTAAAGAGAACATTCAGGGCTATGGTTTACAGTAAGGCTCCTTCTGCAGGTGACGACATTCCAGCAGAGCCTCTAGAAAAGTTAAATTCCCATTAGTCATCAACACACTGGTGAAGGATGTGACGTGTCGCCGTGGGGAGCGGTGAACTGCTAGCCTGGCAAGCCAGACTAAATGAATGTATTATTTAGTCTGGCAACGCTCCATTGACGGCTCTCGGTTGTGGGGCGGGTTCTACTGTTGTCTTTCAAATGATCTCCGCATTCCACTGGACAATGTTTGTGACATACTCACCGCAACAGCCATCGGTAAATGAGGCGGTCCACAGTTGAAGAAGGAGAAAACACATAATTTTTTCTTTAAAAAGCACTTAAATACATCTATCTGCTCCTGATTCTAATGAAGCCCAAGTTCTAATAGTCCAAAATTGATGTAAAAGCCGTTTCAAATGAGCTGTCGCCATCTTGTTTCACTCTGTTGCATCATCCCACCCACCAGGCATATAGAGTGCCCTGATTGGTCCACAAAGCGGATAAAGCTCTGTGATTTGCTCACTAAGCAGATAGAGCACTATAATTGGCCCACCATTATGGACCAATCACAGCTCTTTATGTGTTTGAAACCCCTCTAGAGAGCTGTGATTGGCCAGCCAGAATCCTGTTAGGGGCTGCAGAGGTTCCAGTGGAGCGTTCCTAGACAAAACTTTGCAAAGCAAGAATTTGGTCTAGTTCACTAGGCTAGTGAACTGCAGCACTCGGGAACTATTTGTTGGTTTAACCCCTCAATCCAAACCCTTAAAGCTGAGTGTCAAGAAAGGAGGTGTTGGCTCTTATTTTGAAGTCTTTGGTACGACCCGATCTTCACCACTAGGCCACCGTGAAGGTTAGACTTCCTGTAGAAACAGGAAGTCCTTCATGGTTCAAACACACGGGTGTGGCTTATTTTCAACAAGCATTCTTTTAAATTCCAAAAATGTGCAACTACTGCGGCTAGCCACGAGCTTTGGGCCAGTTTGAGTGACATCACCTGCAGGTGGTGTCCTCTCTGTAGCTGAAATGGCTGAAATGTGCCCCCTACAGCCCCATTTATGGGACGTTCCTCAGACGTCATACCTGATGGCTTTCTAACATCTGTGTCCCACTGACGGTGAGGGGTAGGGAGATGTCCTGGTTGTGTTTCCTCTTCAATGCTGCTGACTGGAGTTACACTTTCTCTACAGCTTCTAAGAAACCGCAGCACTTTTTTTAGGCACAATGCAACAAATAGTGAGTAATTACTGGTGATTGTCTGATTATGCACCAAACACAGAGAGCACATATTGAAGGTTTTTGTCCCTGTTAAATATAGTTTTGTCTCATCAGCCTCACATCACGTCTCCTTGTCCGTGAGTGGATCTCTTCCCTCTAGATGTTTGTGGCTGATTACAGGAGAGCAGCCAGCCGTGCAGGAGTGCAGTGAAGTATCGCCATCTGCAAACTCTTGAGCCAAGTCGCGACCAGATCTGACACAGACCAACAGTCTGCTGCCGAACGGTTCCCTTCATAGGGATGACAAACCCTGGGATAACAAGTCTAAATGATGCACCTGGACTGGAGAAGCGCTGCTTCTCTGGGATGTGGTGGACTCCCATCATGCTGGTAACTGTGTGATGATGTCATGACAACGCAGGCAAGGACCTTTGAGGAATGTTTTTCCAAAAATGTGCTGTTTTGAGGAGAAAAAGCGAGTCGGACCCATACAGAATAGTGTACCTAATGAAGCAGCCAGTGGGAGTAGCTCATGGTGGTTGTGAGCCTTCGTGAACTTATCATAGACAACATTGAACTCATCAGGCGTCCTTATGTTGTTTATGAATTTACTTTTATTCTTTATTTTATTTCTAAAAACAGATCACCCAAACGGACCAGCCCAGGCTAAAGGTTCTCTAGTATAACGTAACTAGTAACTAGTTTTTTACTCAGCAGAAGCAGGAAGACTGGATCTGAGCTGTAACCCTAACCCGAGACACAGCTCTGCTGATTCCTTCCAAACCCACAGCTACCTGATTCTGACCAAACAAAACATAACGGCTTCCAGCTAAAGTAGAACAACGTCAAGCTAGCTGTTTTAGCTTTCTAGCCATGTTAGCTGTGTTAGCCATCTTCATTATTAGAATAGCAAATCACGTATAACATATAAACCTAAGTTAAGAAGCTAGAGGTGTCCTCTGATGAGACCTCGCTTCTATGATAGTGTACCAAAATCATTTTTAATGAGTTACTTTACTTGAGTAAAATGTATGTACTTTTACTTGATTACTTCATACGTTCTGTACTTTTTACACAAAGCTTGGGGCTTATTCTGACATGTGCACTGTGAAAACACACACATACACACACACACACACACACGCACAAATACACACACACACACACACTTTCACACATAAACATACACTCACACACACACACTCACATGTACGCACTCACATGCACTCACACACACATATGTGTACGCACACACAAATACACACAAATATATGTACACACACGTGCACGCACACATGCACGCACACACACACACACACACACACACACACACACACACAGCCTAACTGGGGTCTAATCTTTATGTTAGAGTATGAGTTATTTATGTGAATATTTGAGCCACTTCCCTGTGTGACCAGATGGGGGAGCTGCTGAGCCACAGACAGGGATAGCTTACCTTCACAGCTGAGGTCCGTGCAGGAGCAGCTTCTCCATTCAGAAACAAACACCAGAGTAACTGACAGGTTTCTTCTTTTGACCATTTTCAAATCAAACAAAAGCACCAAAGCAAACCTTCAGCTGATCCTCTTGCCTGTTGCAGTTGTTCTACTAGAAGCTCCTCATCTTTCACCCCTTCATCACCACCTCCTCCATCCAGCCCGTCTGCTATTTATAGATCACAGGGGTTTATTTTAGCTGAGGTTTGCCTGGAGGGAACAGCGCAGAGAAAGGGTGGGGGGCTGTTTGGGTTTGAGTGTTTGTGTTCGTGACGTGCAGCACATGTCGTCTTGAAGCGCAGCGTGCCAGAAAAGTGACACGCGACTTGTGTTCTGCAGGTGTGAACAAACAGGAGACACGCTGCATGCTGCACCCAGCATATAACGCTTGAAAAAGGAGTTTGTGTGTGTGTGTGTGTGTGTGTGTGTGTGCACGTGAATGCAGACATCAGCGAGGTCCTTCCCCGGCCGCCTCCCTTCATCCTGATGTTTTATCATCTCCTCTCCATCTGGTTGGTGCTCTATATTTATCCCACCAGGGATGACCCTGCCCCTCCCCCACCCATCTGACAGCGCTATTTTTACCCCCCCCCCCCCCCCCCCCCGGCGGTAGCTTCAGGATGCACCACTGCTTCTATTCTATTTTTTTGCACATGTGGCGTCTAACATCCAGAGGAATTTGAAACCAGTTCTCACAGACGGGCAAAAACGTTTCTGACGTGTGATGAAAACAATTCTGGTGTGTCTTCCTCTGCTCCACAGTAGAAAATCATCATAAAAGCTTCTGATATCAAAGCGATTCTGCAGTTCTCAGCCAACAAGTGCAGCAGCTTAATTTGGCTGCACAGATTAAACCATAGAAGACAGAAATGAATGAGGAGAGGCTACGCTGGGGTGGTCAGGAGCCTTAAATCCTTATTTGTCTCTGATGAATGGAAAAACAAACGTATCTTATCGTCTGTAACTGTTCCTCTAATGACGCCATGACCCCTGGAGACGGTTCATGTCCTTTTGCTAAACCTGCTGATTGTTCTGGACCTCGTATGTGCTTCCTTATAAGTGCATTTAGCATCAACTGAGTTAAAGCCACATTGGTCTGATTTTCATTGATGATGGGAGGATCTTAACCCATAAACCCAAACTTGTGTGAATGCTTTCCAAAGCCCCGGATGCTTCTGTGGCATTGCTGCTCCGACGAACGTGTTTACTTACAGAGAAAACGTGTTTGTTTTTTTCCAACACAAGCCGGTTACTCGTGTTCCGACTGCAGCTGAGATCCACTCTGCCATCTGAAGCACTCGTGCTTGGCTCGTGTCTGAATCTGCTGGTCGCCTCTCAAGCACAACTCATGGAATCCTCCTCGCTCCTGCAGCAGATGGCTAATCCTTCTCAAGTGCAAAGTCATCGCAGGGAATAAAAACGGGGGATAGAGATTAGGCAGGTCCAAGACACGGAGAACTCTAGAAGTGGTCATCCAGGAAGTGAAAACAGACGTCAGTCAAAGTCTTGTTTCTGTTTGTTGGGTTTAGATAAATCATCTTAAACGTTTAGGAAAACCAGATTATCTCCGCTTCCATGAAACCACACTTGTAAGGAAAATGCTTTTTGTGGCTTGATGTCATTCATGAGAATTAAGACAGGGTCCAGATTCTGGCTACAGCTGCTGGGTCGTTGGGTCAAATGTGGAGCTTGGTGATGGTATGGGACAGGGAAAGAGTCTCAGTCTCTCCAGCCTGCTGTGTGTGTGTTAAAGGAGTAATATGTACGATTTCTACAGTGAAATGATTCCTGAGGTCTCAGTCACGGTGGAAGGAAGCTTACACGGCCGAGGTTGTCAGCTTTTCTCCTTTTAATGAGACTGAAGAGGGACTTAGTTACTGGTTACACCTCAGTGAGCCCAGGAGGTTACCGAGTCAGTGCTGAGCTAACGCTGCAGCGCTAACGTTTGTAATTCGGCACCAGTAGCAACAAGCTCCAGAGTTGTTTTAAGAACAGAAGCCAGTAAACAGAACACACAGGTCTTTACAACATCAACCACTCCTCCGAAGGTAGGAAGGAGGGGTATTCAAAGGTAGTTCCTGCTCGTTAAGCAACAACAGACAGCTACAGTGTGTTAGCTTGACCCTCCCATTTTCCCGTCACAATTGACAAAGCTCCTTGGATGAGATGTGAAACGTTCAGTTTCATTTAAACCTGGGTTACCACCTGGATGACTGATACAAGTCAGTGACTCGATGCAACCTGCTGGGTTCCTTTATATAGAAAACGTTTTACTGATTAGTTGAATGAACTGACCAGTATTTTAATGTTTACTTTGTGAAGGTCCGTGAGACGACTCTTGTCGTGATTTGACTGATTTTGCAACTGTTTAGCTTTCCTGTTACCAGTATTTGGGTTTTTTGTGTTATCAACGTTAATCAAAGATTGCGTAAAACAATCAAGATCTCAATTTCAGTCAAAATAACCATGATATTCATTTTTGCCGTAATCAAGCAGCCCTAAGCTAACTTTGAGCTAATACTGCTAACGGTGAGCTAGAAGCAAATAGACGGCTGTAAAAATATCTCAAGCCCATAAATGGATGTTTTAATGTGTGAGAAGTAAAAAATGAGTCAATTGTAGCATTTTACTTCATTTAATGAGTCGTTCAGAGCTATAACAGTAAACTAACAACACCACAGCTAATAACGACTCTTCCTCTAATGCCGAAGCTATACTACCGTAATAAGTGTAGTAAGTGCTCCCTACTGTAAAATACCCAAGAGCGCTTTCATCAGATATGACCCGTTTTCATCTACTTATCAACTGACTGTGTGTGACTCATCTTTGCTTATCTAGAATATTCTGATTTGTAACTGGGAACATCCACGAAACTCATGGAACGACAGAAAAAAACATAATTTTTGTTTAGAAAAATGTGCTGCAGTACCAGTTTGACCACAGGATGTCAGTCTTGCTTCATTCTTACATACTGCACCTCTAAAGGAATAAGCAGTTTTATAAGCAACAGTCTTCTCTTTACAGGACCAAGGTGTACCTTCAGGGTAAAACCAAGTTAGGTACCAAACCAGGATCATGGGGTTACACCCTAACGAGTAATGAGTCCTGATTCTATCCATCCAACCCAATAATCAGAACCAAACACCGTCCTTAAAGTGACTTCATAACACGTGTGTGCTCCAGCTGTTTGCCCTCCAGCTGTGCCGTACCTCAGTGTTGTGTCCTTCCCGCAGGTTGTACGTCAGGTCGTGCTGGATCTCCTTGATGAACTTCTGGGCGTAGTCTGGATAGAGGCAGAGCACCTCGCGGAGCCCTTTGAGGCTGATGTACTGCAGGTCGCAGTAGGTGAGGGCCTTCACGCAGGCGTTGGTCTTGATCACCTCCTCCTGCGTCAGATAGTCCGAGCCGATCAGGTCGCCTCGACCTTCAAAGCAAAGACACGAGCAGCGAAGAAGAGGCATGAAGTATTGATCTGAGACCTCCTCTAACTTGTAGACCCGACCCAACCTTATGAGGACCTGAGGGTTAGGCCTCATTACAAATATTGTATTCTGTATTTGAAGGTTGATGAAACAGTTTTAAACGGCTCAGCTCAACGTGATGATAAACCACACGCAGCGACACCTCCGGAGCTAAAACGATGGCATTCATCTTGTTAATTGGAGCTGCAGCTTCTGCTTGCTTTCACCGTTTCTACGGAGGGTGCTAATCCAAAGAGGCAGTGACAAAACACTTTACAATCAGTGTGTGTGTGTGTGTGTGTGTGTTTAGGTGAGAGACGGAACAAAAAGGGAAAAAGGCTGTAGGAGAAAAGCAGCATGAGAGATCCGGAGTGTCGTCCATAAGAGGAATGTGTCTGAGCTCGTGTGTGAGGAGGAGGGGCAACAGCCACACGCCAGTGCACCAACAACATGCTAACGAGTCTATCCTTTGTTGGCCTCTTTTATTATTTACAGCCGTTAGTCCGTTGGTGCGAGCTGCTTCTCCTGTATTTGGAGCTGAACTGATTCCAGGTCTGTTTGTGTTCCACTATTCTGTTTCATCCGTGTATCGTGGAGCGGAACGCCGCTCTGGAGAGGCTCTCTGAAACACATTAGTAGCTCGAGCCACTTAATTAACCTGAAACTGGAGACCAGAAGTGTTTATGTGGAAGCTGAAAGGTGAGGCTGAGCATTTTCTGCCTCTTCGGTGGTTTCTTCACACGCTTCCTTCAGGATATCACCTGGATCTGAAACCTGAGCAGCGTTTGAAGCTCATTCACAGCTTCTGTGATGTCCTCATTCATTCACACATTCCTGCTTTTCATGGGGTTCCTCAGGGGCCTGGGTTAGGGTTCTCATCGCTTCCACCTGAAGGGGTGTGAAGCGTTGGTCCTCAGGGGCATGAACTAAGGCCTGAATCTGCCTAATATCTACTCCATTCTCTTGCTTTTTCCATTTATTTTGAGGATTTTCTGAAAAGAAAATAGCCTGTTTTTATAGTTCTCACCTGGCTGCCATGAGTAATTAGCACACCTGCTTCCAGAGCCCGAACCTTTTGATGGGTGGCATGGCGGAGGTCTCAGATGGGTGGACGTGTCACTTAAAGCAGAAATCTGGAGTTTTCTGTCAGAGGACACCATCTAGAGGTGGGGAAGTGAACTGCACTTTGAGCCCCTCTCCCTACTTTAAACCACAAAACCCTGTTTGGGTTTGATTTAGGACGTTCTGACAACTTTTAAACAAATTTAATTCACTAACATCCAGAAACCTTTCTGTTAAAGTGTGACTCAACTCTCACAGCTGAAGATGACTTGGTCCTGTAAAATCCTGCTTTGTTCCTGTCAGATTTGGAGTTTGCAAACTGTCCTTGTGTGTCAGCGTTTCTACTGCCAGTCACTGCTGGGCAGCCTTACTATGTGCAAACACAACCATCAGTTTAGACGCGGAGTGTCATCGACTGAATCTGGGACCAGCTTGAACTCCGAGCCTCCCAGGAAACCATCTGGATGATTCCATGCTTCTCCTCCTTGGGTTCATCCGTTGGTTTTTGAGCCACTTTGCTGCCAGAATCTAGGAGGGCTTCTTTGATTTGGTCACTTTCACAAAAAAGACCTTCAAGATTCAGGTGGAAAAATGACCCCTTCACACCCGTGCTGTTAGGAGGCTTGATCTCATCCACCTCCTCTCAAACCAAAGAGCTCATGGTGCACCAGCTCAGTGGCCTGGTGGTACCAGCGTCTGCCTTGGGACTGGGAGATTGGGGTTCGATTCCCGGTCGGGTTGAACCAAAGACCTGAACAAAGGGAACCAACGCCCTTGGGTGGGTTAAACCACTAAATAGTTCCCGAGCACTCCGAATTTACCAGTTAATTTCTGCTCCAAACCTTTGGGACCTTGTAGAAGATAGAAAGGAGGTGGCCAGGCTCAATCTGAGACTTTCCTTCACATCGAGAGGAGCCAGCTCAGGTGTGATGCCACCTGTATGCCTCCCCGTTCTGATGGAGGTGTTTCAGGTATCTCCTTCCAGGGTAAGACCCCTGACCTGATCTTGGAGACACGCTGAAGGGATTAGAATGGCCTTAGGACACCTACACTAGTCTGGGATTCCACTTTGAGAAGAGGCCTCGGCTACCCAGACCCAGAAAAGACAAGAATGATTAATGTGTGCGGTTCCTCTGTTGGATAAAATTAAAGTAAGATAAGATAAGAGAATTAGCTGGCGTTAGTGGAGAACTCCCTGTATTTAATAATTAATGAAGATGAGGCTGCAGGTTCATGCTGCTGAACCTGAGTGAGAACGAACTTCTTTTTGTTTTGTTTTAAAGCTCTTCAACAAATCAGCTGGTCTCCAGTATGAATTAATGCCTCGTCGGTCATTTTTTCTGTGGCTAAAAAGGTTCTGCAGCTCCTGTTTGGAAGATGTGTCGACGACTTGATGTTTCATTGTTACGTATAAGCAGTGGTGGACCTAGCACTTTTGGGGCCCTAGGCAAACAAAAGCATGGGGTAGGGATGGACAATATATCGGTATCGGCCGATAAATAAAACCGGGCCAATATTAACAACCGATATTTTTTCCATCTGGTCTCCATTTGTTTGCCTGTTTCAAAGGGTGAGGGGTGATGTGTACTTGTTTAGTCCTGTGAATGAAATCAAATCAGAACTGTAAATGTGTGTGGTGTGTGTACATAATAACATGAATTCACCTTTAATAAATTTCGTTTTATACAAAATCTGCAGATTTTAGAAGCATTAATGTCAGTTTATTGGTATCGGCCATAACAGTGATCTTACTATCAGGTATCGATATCGGCCCACAAGTCTCATATCGGTGCATTACTAGCATGGGGGCCTCTGCAGCTGATGTCCTGAACCTTAAAATCGCGCTAGGGCAGGCTGCAACTTCTTGCTTTTCCTGTGCAGCATTAACATTATTACTGAGTCTTTAGAATGACGGGGTTATTTTTTTGGGGGGGGGGGGGGGGGGTGTCACGAGGCCCTTGAAGTGTTGGGGGGCTAACAGTAAGTATCACAAGCCTGAAGGACTTCTGCCATGTTGTGGAGTTGCTAATGCTAACAGTTTGCTTATACCGGCCAAGATGCCCTCTGCTTGCTCCTTCCTGTGGGTGGTACCAAGCAAAAGTGGGCGTGGCCATTAATATTATTTTCCCTGTGATGTAGAAGGGCCAGGTAGCAGAATTACACGGTTCCTCAGTGAAAGAGACATTTAAGAAATTAGTGTTGACAGAACATCGTTTTCAGTCTACCTAAAATAGCCAGCACCGTGTTGTCCTTCAGGACCTCCATGGATCCCGAGCACACGAAGTAGATGGCCTGAAGAGCATCTCCCTGGCGAATGAGGAACTCTCCTGGAGCACAGAAGGAGTTCTTGATGATCAGGGAGAGCGAACGCAGACACCCTCTGCTGGCTGACTCGAACAGCGGCAGCTGCAGCAGCTCTTTGTTCAGGTGCATGGCTATGTCCGCTCGCAGCTCATCAGGGAAGTCCTTCAGCAGCTGAGGAAACATATTTAAAGCCTGTGAGTGACGTATTGTTTTTTAAAGCACCTTGGGGGTTGAAGAACCCGAGAAGGTACTATATGAAGGGGAGCTGTGACTGTTACCTGTGGATGAATCCGTGTTTCAGCTCGAGAAGCTTTACTCTGTTGTTTCATTGTGCAGGAGCATGTGGGAAGGTGGAGGAAACCTTCCCACATGCTAGCTAGCTGCTACATGTTAAGCTAGCAAACCGTTGTGAGGTTTCACAAATGCAACCTTAACACATTCACAGCTGGTCCGAAAGGTGGAATGGCTCAGGGAAAGAGAGGCTTTGTATGGAGGATGGTTTCACCTCCAATAGGAACTGGATGTAAGGCCATGTTTATCCCAGAGTTACTTCCTGTTTAAGAGGCCCTTGATCTGGTAAGTTAAAGGATCAGCTGATTTACATCAAAAACACTACAAGGTCATTCCAGCCAACAAACATTCACAAAGACAAATCTGATCCCTCCTACCTCGCTGACATCGATCCCGTTGTTGACTGACCAGGTGGTCTGAAAACACTCCATCATGCGCTGCTCCAGAGCCTTCGGCAGCCGGTGCACTCGGATGAAGTCCTTCAGGTCTTTGGTGCGGGTGTGGTAGAGCGAACGGCGTGAGTACATCCTCTGAATGATAGCGGTCACATTCCCAAACACGACGGCGTGCATGAGCGCTAGGGAGGAAATACACAAGACATTTCTCATCACGATGCTCTTCACGGTTCTGCTAGAGGCGAAGCTTTGGTGCTGTAATCCTGCCCACCTCCTATCAGCATGGTACAGATGGAGAAGATCTTCTCTGTGTCTGTGTTGGCCGAGACGTTTCCGAAGCCCACGCTGGTCAGACTGCTCAGGGCGAAGTACAGCGACGTCACGTAGGAGCTCCTGACAGACGGCCCGCCGCTCAGCGACATCCCAGTACCGTTTAGCGCCCTGACTCTGGTCCTACCGCCTGAAGCCACAGACCCGGTCCCGTTCAGCCCGGAGCCGGCCCACTGGCTGTAGTTCACCAGCCCTGCTGTCATGCTGCTGTGAGGTGCCTCTTCCAGCAGGGAGGTCAGTGGTGTCAGGAAGTAAGGAGTTCCCAAACGCTTGGCCAGTTCATGGAGCCAGCCTGGTGGGAGACGAGTCCAGAAGACTTAATCAGTGTAACAAGAACGTGTCCGTTAGCTAGGTGACCTTTACTAGGAGTCATCAGCTTCATGCTGGAAGGAAGGTAATTGGTTCAGTGATGCGTTTGGATGGAGCACAACCCGGCATCTCAGTAGATGTCAGTCCTCGTGTGTGTGTGTGTGTGTGTGTGTGTGTGTGTGTGTGTGTGTGTGTGTGTGTGTGTGTGTGTGAACTACAAACGGAAGCACATTACTGTAACTTATAAATCACCTATGAAAAGTTATGATGCTTAAACCTGACTAGAATCCAATGAAAAGGTAAACACACACGCATACACACACATACACACACGCACACATAAACACACACACGCATACACACACACACACGGCGTGATCTGCTCATCAGAAGCAGCGTCATCTTGCTCATCTAAACCTTTAATTAAAGGTGGAGCCTCTCCACCCGCTCCTCTCCTTTCTTGTTGTTTCTGGTCCCTCTCCACCTTTTAGTCCCACACTTTCTTCCCCGACTGCATCGCTTAAACAAGATCGGCCACCTCCACCCGACAGTCTAGTTGTTGTTTGGCAGCGGTGAGCGCTAGGAGGGGGAACGCAACACCAGACGTGTTTTCTCAGGAGAAGAACACACCGGTCTGATTCAGACACAACAATCTGAAAAAGATACTTTTTTGTTTATTAGTTTGATGCATCATCTCATTTTTAAATTCTTATTGGTTATAACAGCAGCATTGGTTCATTAACCAGAGAACCAGCAAACCTAACCTCACCTATTATTATTATTAATAATGATAAACCTAACGATGCAGATAGAGTTCAGCATGTAGATTTACTTTTTTACAGTGATAGTTGGTTTTACCACTGTTGACCCTGTCTGCACTCTAGAGGCTGGATTGTACGTGCTGTTTAACGCCAGCAGGCTACGTCGTTTTTCACAGACTTGTACTGGAGTGTTCCACTAGGGGGCACAGTAGCGAACTCAGACCGGATAGTGTTCCGGGTTTGTGGCTACAACCAAAACAAACATGGCGTCAACAAAGGAAATCAGTAACTGGTTGATTTTGAGATCCTGACGGAAGAAAAGACAGCAGCAGCTATAGTGTGAAAGCCCGCCAAACTGGAGACTGGATGAGACCATGGCGAGTGTGTCTCGCTCATTGTGTCAACTCCCCCTAATGGTTACTCATATATTGCCGTTTTTACACAAGGCAGCCATGATAAACACTCGTACACGTAATTCAAGGCAAGTATGTTCTGGCCCTTATGTGGATGTAGGCTGTTATTATTCATAGATGCGTGGTGTAGTATAAGTATAACTGTAAGCATAAACATGAGTATGACTATGAGTATAGGTATAAGTATAAGTACAAGCATAAGTATAAGCATGATTATGAGTATGAGCAGAGGTGGAAAGTAACAAATTACATTTACTCACGTTACAGTAATTGAGTAGCTTTTTTGTATATTTATACTTTTTAAGTCGTTTTTAAAAGCTACACTTTTACTTTTACTTGAGTACGTTTTTAAAAAAAGAATTGTAATTCGCTACATTTTAAATCATATCCGTTACTGAGTAAAAACAAATTATAGGCTTAATAAATTAAAAATATTACGTGTGGCAGCGTCGGAACAGAAAGAGACACCTGCATGAGCGCCACGTCTAAACCGTGGGGGTGTGGGTGTACACTTTTGCTCAAAGACATCAGTTCAGTTCCTCAACTCGCGGTTCACCTCCTCTCTCCCTCCTCTCCTGTGGGTTGGAACCCACACCTTCGCGCACCGGTGTGACGTCATCAGAATTCTCCTCGGTTCGGTAACAAGACTCGGTTCCGTGTTTGAAACGTGTTTCTCTACCGCTCCGCACGGAAGCGGCAAAATAACGTTTAGCGCTCATAACAAGCGGATTATCAGCACTTTGCTCATAAAACAGAAGACCTGCAGGCCTCTGTGAGTTAAGAATCTATCCTATTTTTGCCGGATGGCGGAACGGCACGGCCGCAGTAGTGGAACAGCTCTGATTGACTACAACGGGACAGATTTTGCTGCGGAGTTCGTGCCGGAGCGGAGCGGAGGTAGTGGAATTTTGGGGTTCAAACATCCTGATACTGTTCAGGTGTAAACATTGTGCTCCATCCCTGTGTTTGAACTCAGAAGATGCTTCTTGATACTACAGATATGTGATGATTTAGCTTGTTTCTTTATTTTACTCCAGAATAAGAGATTAAATTATGACAAAAGCAGTTCAGTGTAGTTAAATTAGTCATTCAAATGATTCTAACATGCTGCAGTGTGTGTGTGTGTGTGTGTGTGTGCGCGCGCTTGCGTGTGCGTGCGTGTGCATGTGCGTGCATGCGAGTGTGTGTTACACATATAGAACTGCGTGAGACAGCATGATTTCATCAAATCCATGCATCTTATTTCGTGGCTGGAGTAATGGCTCAGGAAAATAACATATTTCATAAATAATGACGTCTTAATAGTGTCTACGATGATGTTTTATCTTATCTTTGGTCTGGGAGGTGTAACATATCATGATACAAGCCTTTTAAAACACGTTAAAGTTTTACAAGAGGAGATAAATGCATGAATTTAAAGTTCATGTTTGGAGTCCAACCTTCACAGTTTGGAGGCTCACGCTGGTGAGGAGACACCGTTAGTTCTAGTAACACCTGGGCTCCCAAGGTCTATTCTGACAGGATGGACGTTACGGGACCCTTCAGGATTACAGTTGGACGATTGGAGGATTATTTAGGAGGATTGGAATGAACACACTGATTTCAGTGGTGAAGGGTTAAATGAGTGAGTGAACCCACCACCAAGGATGAACTCTGCTAACTTTAAAAATCAGCTGCTCTAAATAAGCATGAAAGTCAGAGAGGAGCTCTAGGATGGACATGGATAAAGGAACTGTAATGTAGAGGTAAAGTAGGGCAGGGCCAACGTTAGCAGCTGTCATACGGTCCATCTGAAATGTTAGACTTTCATTTGGCTTGTTATGTGACAGGTTAGAGCACAGTCTCAAGTTAGAGTTTTTCATGAAAACATTGAGATAGCTCACATACTGATGGCATCTAAAAAATATTATTTTTTTCTCAAAATAAAGAATAATTTTAATCACAATTGAAACTTACCATCCTAAAAACCCTCGTCCAATCAATGTGCACGTCCTGTTCTCAATGATTGGATAGAAATCCCTCCTTCAAGCTGTGTGTGTGTGTGTGTGTGTGTGTGTGTGTGTGTGTGTGTGTGTGCGCGCACACACACGAGCGAATTGTGAACTGGCGTTGTGAATTAGCACTACTTAGATGTAGTCATCCTTACGCTGACAAAAATGTAACTAAGTAACTTTTACTTCGAGTACATTTTGTTTACAATACTTTTTACTTTTACTTGAGTAAAAATTTAGGCAAGTACTTTTACTTGTAATTGAGTAAAAAATTATTAAAGTATTGGTACTCGTACTTAAGTAGGACATTTTAGTAGTCTTTCCACCTCTGAGTATGAGTATAAGTATAAGTATGAGTATATGTATAAGTATGAGCATGATTACAAGCATAAGTATAAGTATAAACATGAGCATGAGTATGAGTATAAGTATAAGTATGAGTATATGTATAAGTATGAGCATGATTACAAGCATAAGTATAAGTATAAACATGAGCATGAGTATGAGTATAAGTATAAGCATGAGTATTAGTATAAGCATGTGTATGAGTATGAGTAAATGTATAAGTATAAGTGCAAGCATGAGCATAAGCATTAGTATGAGTAAAAGCATAAGTATGAACATGAGTATCAGCATGAGTATGAGTATAAGAATAACCACCGCATAAAGCTTTTCTGATTCTGATAAGCATGAGCATAAGTATAAGCATGAGTATAAGTATAAGTACAAGCATGAGCATAAGCATGAGTATAAGCATAAGCATGAGCATGAGTATAAGTATAAGCATGAGTATAAGCATGATTATGAGTATAAGTATGAGCATGATTACGAGCATGAGTATAAGTATAAGTATAAGTACAAGCATGAGCATAAGCATGAGTATAAGTATAAGCATGAGCATGAGTATAAGCATGATTACGAACATGAGTATAAGTATGAGTATAAGTATAAGTATAAACATGAGCATGAGTATGAGCATAAGTATAAGCATGAGTATTAGTATAAGCATGTGTATAAGTATAAGTGTAAGCATGAGCATGAGTATAAGCATGAGTATAAGCATGAGTATAATTATAATTGTTATAATAAAATATAATATAATTATTATTAAATTGTAAGTCACTTAGGATGAACGCGTCTGCTAAATGAATAAACATAAACATATAAGCATGAGTATGAGCATAAGCATAAGCATTAGTATGAGTATAAGTTTAAGTATAAGCATGAGTATGAGTATTAGTACAAGCATGAGTATAAGTGTAATAAGTATAAGTGTAAGTACAAGCATGAGCATGATTATAAGCATGAGTATGAGTATAAGCATGAGTATAAGTATAAGTGTAAGCATAAGCATGAGTATATGTATAAGCATAAGCATGAGTTTAAGTGTAAGTATAAGCATGAGTGTGAGTATAAGTATAAACATGATCATAAGTATAAGTATAAGTATAAGCATGAGTATGAGTATAAGCATGAGTATTAGTATAAGCATGAGTATAAGTATAAGTACAAGCATGAACAAGAGTATGAGCATGAGTATAAGTATGCAGACAACTTGCACAATACAAAAACTAAAATGAATTAGTTTTTTTTTTTCGTCTATTAAATATTACAATTAACAGTCAGATTTTATTAAATGGATTAAAATATGAGTTTTTCTTACAGAACATGCTGTAAATCTTTAAAGACGACTAAAATTACACTTTTTTTATTCAGGTTTTTTCTTTGATGCTCACAGGTCTGATTTTTTAGTGAGGCTTTGTGGTTTTATTTAGCATCAGGTAAATAAAATAATAGTTTATAAAAGACAAAGACCTCATCCATTAGAAAAATAATGGATCTGATTTTTGTGTCAGATGTCAAATGAGGAAAATCCTTTAATAGAAACATTAAAAATGCATCAACGGGCTGTTTTAGCAGGTCGGCTCTACAGGTTTTAGTATCGGGGGCCCTGGGGGCCATTAATGAGTGATGGGCTGCATTTTGGATGCCATTTTCTAAAGGGACACCATCTTTCCTATTAGTTATATGGATTCATAGCTTGTTAGAGTAGAAGTCACCTTATGGGTGAGTGTTAATTCACCCACACGTCAGAGAAACGGGTCCATCCATCCGTCCATCATCCATCCATCCATTGTCCACCCATCCATCATCCATCCATCCATCATCGACCAATCCATCATCCATCCATCCATCCATCCATCCATCCATCCATCCGCCCATCCATCATCCATCTATCCATCCATCCATCCATCCATCCATCCGCCCATCCATCATCCATCTATCCATCCATCCATCCATCATCCGCCCATCCATCATCCATCTATCATCCATCATCGACCAATCCATCATCCATCCATCCATCCATCATCCATCTATCATCCATCATCCACCAATCCATCATCCTTCCATCCATCCATCCATCCATCCATCATCCGCCCATCCATTATCCATCTATCATCCATCATCGACCAATCCATCATCAATCCATCCATCCATCCTTCCATCCATCCATCCATCATCCATCTATCATCCATCATCCACCAATCCATCATCCATCCATCCATCATCCACCCATCCATCGTCCACCCATCTATTATCCATCCATCCATCCATCATCCGTCCATCATCCATCCATCATCCACCAATCCATCATCCATCCATCCATCCATCCATCATCCACCCATCTATCATCCATCCATCATCCATCCATCCACCCACCCATCCATCCATCCATCCATACATCATCTGTCCATTATCCATCCATCATCCACCTTTCCATTATCCATCCATCCATCTATCTATCATCTATCCATCATCCATCCATCACCCATTCATTCATCATCCACTATCCATCATCCATCTATCAATCATCCATCCATCATCGACCTATCCATCATCCATCCATCATCCACCTATCCATCATCCATCTATCCATCATCCACCTATCCATCCATCCATCCATCCATCCATCCATCATCCACCTATCCATAATCCATCCATCCATCCATCATCCACCTATCCATAATCCATCCATCCATCCATCCATTCATCATCCATCCATTATCCATCCATCCATCTTCTGTTCATCATCCATCCATCATCCACCCATCCATCATCCATCAGTCCATCATCCATCTATCTATCATTCTTCCATCATCCATCCATCTATCATCCATCCATCTATCATCCATCTATCCATCATCCATCCATCATCCATTCATCCATCATCGACCTATCCATCATCCACCTATCCAACATCCATCTATCCATCATCTATCCATCCATCATCCATCTATCTATCATCCACCTATCCATCATCCATCCATCTATCATCCACCTATCCATCATCCATCCATCCATCATCCACCTATCCATCATCCATCTATCAATCATCCATCCATCATCGACCTATCCATCATCCATCCATCATCCACCTATCCATCATCCATCTATCCATCATCCACCTATCCATCCATCCATCCATCCATCCATCCATCCATCCATCCATCATCCACCTATCCATAATCCATCCATCCATCCATCATCCACCTATCCATAATCCATCCATCCATCCATTCATCATCCATCCATTATCCATCCATCCATCTTCTGTTCATCATCCATCCATCATCCACCCATCCATCATCCATCAGTCCATCATCCATCTATCTATCATTCTTCCATCATCCATCCATCTATCATCCATCCATCTATCATCCATCTATCCATCATCCATCCATCATCCATTCATCCATCATCGACCTATCCATCATCCACCTATCCAACATCCATCTATCCATCATCTATCCATCCATCATCCATCTATCTATCATCCACCTATCCATCATCCATCCATCTATCATCCACCTATCCATCATCCATCCATCCATCATCCACCTATCCATCATCCACCTGTCCATCATCCATCATGATCCACCTATCTGTCATCCATCCATCCATCTTCCATCTGTCATCCTCCCATCCGTCATCCTCCCATCCATCATCCATCTATTCATCATCCATCCATTCATCCACCCACCCACCCTTCATTCATCCATTCATCCATGCTTTTATTGCCCAGTACCCACCTATGTCCCAGGTGGCGGGGTTATTACCCTGAATCTCGCTGCGTCCAATAAAGTACCAGACACAGGCCATCCAGTGGCCCAGCAGAGCGAAGGTGGACATGAGCAGAGTCAGAACCACAGCGCTGTACTGGGAGTACCGGTCCAGCTTCTGCAGGAGGCGCAAGAGGCGCAGGAGACGCACAGTTTTCAGTAGGTGAACCCCAAAGTTCTGCAAGAATAAGGAGGTCATACTCCACCATTAAAACGTGTTACCACGTTCACCAGGAAGCACAAAAAACACTAAAAATGTAATTTAAATCAGTGATCAGTGAGCAAGTGTTGTTGTAAAAATATGACACACACACACACACACACGCGTGTGTCTGCAGGCTCTAATCTCGGCATCATCTGGATAATCTGTTTGGTTTGAAATGTAATTTATCGTCTCCACACTCATTTATCAGCATAATTACACGTTGGCTAATCACGAGTTACACAACAAAGCCTGGATTCTAGCTTTTCCTGCCTTTAAGCTGCTACAGTGAAGCAGACGCAGAAAGAGAGGATTTCACAAAAAACCTGGAGCAAAACTCTTCTCCTGCACATTATATCTTCTTGTTGCCATGGTTTAAGACGTGCATTTGCAATCCATTATGTTCCACTTAAATCAGTACTTGTAGAGAGTCAAGCGGTAGGAACAATCCATTTCTGACGACACATGCAGGGCAACGTTTGTGCATGTACAAGGTCAACGACCAGTCGCTTGTCCTACTCACCACGCTGATGTTGAAGGCATAGAGAAGGTCAAAGGGCAGCGCAGCAATCAGATCCACAAACAGCCAGGAGGTGACATAGTGAATGCAGATGGAGCGGGGATCATACACGACCTGCCCGGAGGTGCTCACGTAGGTCGTTCTGAAGTTTAGCACGATGTCTGTGGGCCCGAGAGAAAAATCAAAACTCACTTTTGTTGCGTGTTTGGAAAACGTGTTTGTTTGGTTGTATAATTATCAGTGACTGATTTAAGGGCCTTAAAGCTAAAACCAGCAGCCGGGTACTTTTATTCAGCCTGTGCTTCAGAAATAGTTGGAAACGACTGAAAAACAGGGGAAAGAGCTCAGATTTCATCTGAAACCAGTCGGATCATACAAATTCCCTCTCAGGTTGACCCAGATTACCTGCAGGGACAAATGGGATTCATCCAGGCTGGTAGTTTGTTACAGACGGGATGTGAGCTTGACCTGGTTAGAGCAGTCATACATAGAAATAAATCACACAGACAGGCAACGGCATCCTTTGACTTCAGAAGTCATGGAATAAATATGAATGTACATAAATCTTCTATAGCTATAAACTAACATTTCATAAGCTGAATAACTCACTTTACAAAACATACCTAAAACTAGACATTTACTTTGAAGCTTGTGGGCCTCCCAGTTTAAGCTAGCTGCTCCAGCTAGCTGCCTCTGAAACAGGTTTTTAACGTGCTGCATCTCATGGAACGTTATTGTTGAGTTAAAGTTACAAATCTATACACACAAGTTAGATTAAACATTTTTCATGCGTCTTCACAGATAAAAAAGCTCATAAAGTGGTTCTCTTGCATCAAAGCTAAGCCGGTCAGGCCCAAACGTAACGTGAGGGTCTGCTGTGATCGCTCCTGTCAGAAAGAGCTTGAATTCCCACCTCCGACAGAATTTTCAACACCAGAGGGAGGCAAGGGACATGTGGGCCATGTTCCGTGCTTCCATTGTCGAGGCGGCTGACCGGAGCTGCAGCTGCAGGGTCACCATCTGTGCCTGTCGTGGTGGCAACCCCAGAGCCTGCTGGTGGACAATGGCGGTTAGGGCTGCTGTCAAACTGAAGAAAGAGTCCTATCAGGTCTTCGGGATCAGGTCTTCCTATCAGGAGTTCGGTGAGACCGTAGAGCAAGACTTCCATACAGCTTCAAGGAGATTCTGGTCAACCACCCGGCATCTCAGGAGGAGAAAGCAGGGTGTTACCAACACTGTTTATGGTGGTGTGTTGCTGACCTCTACTCAGGATGTTGTGGATCGGTGGGCGGAGTACTTAGAAGACCTCCTCAATGCCACCGGCGCGTCGATTTACCAGTCGATCTAAATCCTACCCTCAACATGAGCTTTGGGTAGTAATGAAGCTCGGTCATCTGGGAGGGGCTCAGAGTAGACCCGTTGCTCCTCCTCATCAAGAGGAGCCAGTTGAGGTGGCTCGGACATCAGTTCAGGATGCCTCCTGGACGCCTCCTGGTGAGATTTTCTGGCACGTCCAACCAGGAGGAGGCCTAAAAGGAGACCCAGGACACGCTAGAGAGACCATGTGTCTTACCTGGCCAGGGAACGCCTTGGGATTCCCCCGGAGGAGCTGGGGAGGAGGAGGTCTGGGCCTCTCAGCTTAGGCTGTTGCCGCCACGACCCGACTCTGGATAAGTGGTCAAAAATGGATGGATGGCTGGTTGTCTTGTATTTGTCTAAAAACCTCCACCAATGACACGGCTCGGTCCGAAGCAACGATTGGACCATCTGGTTGTCGGTCTCGTCGAACTGCCACGCTTCCCTGGGTCCTCCACTCACCCACTCCCGTTCAGCAACAGAGCACCTTGTGTGAGAGGTTCTCCTCTCAATTAATCCAGATTAGGAGAATGACTGGGATGGCTACAATTCTCTAAAATACAATAAATTAACATAGTTTAGTCCAAAAGAAATGTTGCTAACTCTTCATCAGGTTTGTGGATAACGGAGCTCCTCCCATCTTTTAAAAGCATCTCCACGTAAATTTGACTCGACTGTCGTAAACGTCTCACGGCAACATTTGCAGACGACTTTTAAACAGTTTAAAGTTTCTTTGAGAACTTGAAGGTACTTTATGAGAGGCACATTTACACATTGTGTTTGTACCTTTTCTTTTGATCTAAGCACAAGAAACACTTAATTACTGCATAAACACATTCATGTTGGTAGAAAACAAGTTCATCTCAGGATTATAGTACTGAGAACTGGGATGGATCTGGTCTCTGACCAGTGACCTTGTCGAGTCAGCTGGAGAGACGTATTTAATGGAGATCAGGAGGGAGATGCTTCTTAAAGTGATGATATATTATTACCTGGAAAGGAAGTATCTGAACGACTGTGAGTTTTTAAAAAGAAACACATCAAATAGCACAAAAAGTCAGATTTTTAGAGATGAAACTGAAAAGGGTAAAGGAACAGTCGTCTTGTCCCAAAGCTGAACTCACCGATGATGAAAAGTATCTCCACCAGGATGTCGCTGACGCTGGGAGGGTTTCGTGCTGCTGTGCCGCCATCCTCTCGTATCTCCATGGCGGTGAAGCAGACGTTGTAGGGAACGGTGATGGCGACATAGAAGGTGGCCAGCAAGATCAGCCAATCCCAGCCAGCCTTGAATGCACCATAATGAAGGAGGATGAGGCGGGACTTGTGGACGTCGGCCACCTTATACTCAGGGATCGGGTTAGCGTTGGCCCCAAGGACACTCTACAGACACATCAATGACCAATCAGGAGCTCTTACGTTGAAGGTTTTCTCCAGAAGGTTCCAATGAGGTCCAGAATTACGGAGGTCCTTCACTCATGTTTTTACTACCTCAGCAGTGGTCTCTAGGAGGAATGAACGCCTTATATGTCGCATTCTGGGGAAAAAGCTCTGGTGCGCGCATTTTAGGAACTAGAAGTGAGCCACATCAGAGTTGAGCTTCAGACGACAGGACTTGGAGTCCTACTTCCTGATATCTGAACAACTCTCCTCTGATTGGCTAACAGCAAAACGACTCTACCATTGACTGTTCTGCAACGCTGATGTTTTCTCTCCACCAATAACACAAGCCAGGAGGAGTTCTGCTGTGTGGTGGAGTTGCTAATGCTAATGGTTAGCTTCTACTAGCAGAGACGTTCTCTGCTATTTCCTGGACGCTAAACCAACAACAGCCTTCCCCGTTGTGAGTCAACATGAATGTTAGTGACAGTGTGATGCAGATCTGTCAGGCTTTTCTAATCCTAGCGTTTCACTGTCTGAATTCTACTGTATTAGAAGCTAATGCTAATGCTAGGTGTAGGAGACTATTTTCCTGTTCAGCCTGTGTGAAACACTCCAAGTGAGCGATTATAATCAGAAATAACCCGTAACACTGGTTTCTCAGCGAAGGACCTCTTTTCAACACCACACAGCTCACATTGTTGATCTTGAGCTTGGTTTTGGTCTTGTCCTGTTTCTGGAGATGTCCAGACAGCTGGTAGAGGACGGCCCGACTGCGCCGGCGCTCCATGTTGCATCCTGGAGGCCGACTGATCGGGCGGATCTCATGGCTGGTTTCCTCATCTGAAAACAAACAAAATGAAGCAGCAAAAAGGAAGACCCTGAACTCGGGAAACATAAACAAGAGGTTGGGAAAATCTGTTGGTTGGTTATGAAAATGTGGTATTTACTGGTAAAGCCACTCCTAAATGTCCAAAGCCTTCTCCAAAGTCTTTTTCTGGTCACTATAATCCACCTTTTAGCTGCTCCTCTAGTTCTTTAGCCCGCTAACTTGTAACTCTATCACAAGCAGAGGAAACAGCTCTATGGAAATGCAAATTTGTCTTTTTATAGCCCTCTGCTGCTTTGCAGGGGGATTAATTATTATGATTGTCGACATGTTCTGCAGCTGCTTGGAGAAACCCGTTTCTGTTGATTGTTGTAAAAAGGCTTAAAGAATTCGAGTATTAATCATTTTGAAATTTGCATCCCCTGACCTTTCCGTACGAGGACTGCGAGCAAGCGGTAACAGAATAATTACAGCCCTTCTCAGCCCCTCCACTAAAGAGAGTTGATATTAATCTGGTAAAAGTAACGTCTGCAGAGCATCAGCTCCCACTAAACTTATTTAATAATGCATTCATTCATAATTTAGGTCTCCGCTGCTAATGCAGTCATCTCATTTGTTTTGTCTTTGAAGAAAAAGATACAAAAACATATTAAAGAGTTGAGAGGTCTTTCTACTTTCATGGCGACTGCAGAGTAAATCGTCTGGAGTAAAACACCGCTGAATCATTGGCTCACAGGGCTTCCTCTGTCACCACTCACCAGTGTCAGAGTCGTTGACCTGGTCCAGGTCCCTGTTCTCTGTGATGTCCTTATGTGAGACCAGGAACAGAACCACCTCACTCTTCTCATTCTTGATTGGAACGATGTCCAGCAAACACCAGAACTTGGCACCTTTGTACAGAACCACAGACGCGTCAGCTTTGTTGGACTAACGTGATTGTTCATGTGTGGGAGAGTCTGACGCCTCCTCCATCCCTTACCACTCTTCTTGTACAGGATTATCTCAGTCTTGAACTCCCGGCGTTCATCCAGAGCTTTTTGCATCTGTGAGGTGATGCGGTCGCTGGTCTCGCTGCCGTACAGGAAGTGACACATGCAGCTCTTCTGCATCAGCTCGCCGCGGGCGAAGCCAGTCAGCTCGCAGAAGCCATCCGAACAGTACACTATTGGGTAGAGGGACTGGACCTGAGCGTTTCCCAGGACGAAGTTACTGTCTGCAGAGAGGGAAAGATGGGCTAAAGAAGACTAGACCTCAAGCAGGGTTGGTGTTGCACAGCTTCTCATTTCTTATCTGGGTTGATGATCAAGAAGGTATTAGAGCAATATTTGATATTAACGTAGAGCAACTATTGACGAGGATTCCATAAGCCTGCTGTTTTCAGATGAATTTCACATAGTTTTACATTTCTTATCATATCTGTTCCTTTTACAAAATGCTAAACTACAGCAGAAAAATTATTTTAGCAACTAAATGTTTGTCTGCATACCAACCTGCATCTAGAATAAATGGATAACCATTAAAACTCACCTTTTCTAAGTTTTTTTTCACTGCCAACAGTCACAATATGTTGGTGCTTGTCCAGTTATTCTATATAGGCCCATATATTATGAGTATAGTTTTACATATTACCATCATTGCGTGGAAATAAATGCAGGATCAGTATCTCCTAATAACAAAGTTCCTCCTTATAATCTATTATAAATCTCATTTTAGTGAGAAACTTTCTCATAATGACGAAACATAAAAGTGGTTTTAACAAGAAAGTTCCTTGAAACAACGTGTTTAATATCTCGTGATAACCAGAAAGTTTGTGACGGTAAAATGATGGTTCAGTCTATTGCCCCCAGACTTTGGAACAGTCTGCCTTCAAATCTCCGTCTCTTGAAATCTGTAGAGGTCTTCAAAAACATCTTAAAACTCACCTTTTCATCCAGGCTTTCCCCCGCTAAATATTCTAAAAGATGGCTATGTTCTTGTTCACACCTTGACTTTGTTTTTACTCCTGATTTTGGTTACTATTGTTGTCACTGCTATTGTTTTTATGATGTTTTTATTGGTTTGAGGTATTTACCCTGATTTTACTCATGTTGTACAGCGCTTTGTGATTTATATCTGTGAAAGGCGCTCTATAAATAAACTTTACTTACTTACTTAAACGTTGTGGTGTTCTATTAAATGAACATGGTTAAAGTTAGGTAATAACAACTATTTTATGTTCTTATTACGAGAACATTTCTTGTTAAAAGGAGATTTATTTCACATTATAGCAAGAAACTCCCCACTGAAGTGTTATTCTGTATTTTAAAGAGCAAGTCACTCCAAATCAACATTTTTCTTGCTGATAAACTATAGAAATGAGTGATCGTGCTGCAGACACATGTAGTCAATAATTCGGCACTTAAGTGCATCTTAGTTAAAATTTAAATATTCTGCCTAAAACTGTCAGTGTTGCACCGTCGTCAGGTAAAACCTCAGCACTGCATTTGAATTTGAATCTGCCGTCGCTATTGGCTAAGAGGTACACTATGATGTTAGATGGTACATCATGATGTCACAATGTCGTGAGTGTGTGTATTTGTTAGTGGCCCCGCCCTCTCGGTCTGCTAGGCAACAGCATTTGTTGCATTTTTCAAAAAGGAAGTGGCAGTGGAGTAAGAATCTGGTAGGGGTTGACTTGCTCTTTAAATAAGGACACTTGTGGTTGAAGTTTTCAATGTTTACTTATTCAGCCAGAGGAGGATAGAAAGTCACTAAACTCCTGAAGGAAAGAACTGTTTGGACCAGGTGGACGATAGACCACAGCACAGTAAAACAAGTCTTTATGCCCGACTTTAATCAGCTGCAGTTCAAAGGAAGCAAAGTGACCAGAGGTCATAGAGCTACATGGAAGATGGTCTCTGAAAACAACAGCTATGCCTCCACCACGACCAGAACCCCGGGGCTGGCTAAGAAAAGAATAACCACTCGGGCAAAGTTCAATCAGACCAGAATAATCAGATGTTTGCTGCCAAACTTCGGTCAGAAACAGAAAATCCAGGTTTTTAGAGAGAATTAGATCATTGAGCAGGAAGGACTTATTGTTAACAGAGCGGGTGTTCAATAGGGCCATGCTGAGTGAGGTGGAGGAATCAGAAACTACAGAAACAGCTGGAGTTAGTGTACGTAAATTAGCAGGGTTAGATCCACGGTGTTTATAAAAACCACTTATGGAGGGAACAGGAGGAATGAGGATAAACCGACCTTAAAAAACTTGGACGGATGAATCGCGTCGCAACGCGGCCTGGCGGGAATTCGAAAGTGGCGCTGAGGTCACCAAACAAAGGACAAGAAGCTAGAAGATTGCGCCGATGTTTACTAGATAAACCACGCTTTAAGAGAAGTCTTATTCTCGCCTGGATTCCTGCTCGTTTATCTCTTTTCCTCCGACGTTTTCCCGGGACCGGATAAACATAGCCGGAGGCGGGCAGCTCTGGACCGTCGTTTGGCTCCGGGCCAGTGCGCCACTCAGGTAGACAAAAAGGATGGTACGTCCTCGATGCGTCTTGGGCGATCGTGAACGAACATAAGGACAAAAGAGTCTGGCGATCATAGGAGATGGTAGCAGGGACGCTACTGAAGAGGATCGCAGTCAGGAGCAAGGTGGAAAAGAGGAGGTTAGTGGAGAAAAGTTTGAAAAAGTGGCCGGTGACTGCGGCTAAGCCAAGCACAGGCGCCATCTTGTTGCCGACCGGAAGCGGGGGAAAAAAGAAATTGCATCTTTGCATATTGCATCTTTTCTTAGAAGACACCTCAGTGTGTGCACTTTGTCAGTAAACTTGGAAATATAGGGTGACAGGTATGTCAGCATCCGTATAAATCTGTGTAGCTCATCTTTGTTCTTTGGATTTGGCCTTTCTCGGATGTCCCGGATTTTAACTGGATCTGTCACACCCTGTCCTGTCTCCCCTTTTGGTTTAGTCCTGTGTCCATGTTAATTGCTCCCACCTGCCTCTCGATTCCCAATCACCCAAGCTCCCAGCCCTCTTGTATTTAAACCCCTTCAGTTTTGTGTCTCGTGTTGGATCATTGTTTCTATGTTGGCGTGTTCCCCATTAAAACCTTTAATCGTTCCTGTGTGTCTGCTTGCCTGCTTCCCTCACCCGCATATGGATCCTTACCTCCGCTTCATTCACCGGCACGCGCTGACAGGATCTGGTCTGATGCCGTTAGCTGTGTACTGAGTTCCAAAGAATGAAATCTGGGTTTCTTTTATGGTGCATTTATCACTGTTGAACACCAACCCTGCCTTTGCAGCACGTTCCATCAGTTTGATCAGGTTCTTGTCGTGTTCTTCCTCTGACTTCCCACAGACAGCGATATCACCAGCTATGCTGACTACACCCTCCAGCCCCTCGAGGATTTGGTCCATCCTGGCCTGAAAGATATCTTGAGACACACTTATCCAAAAGGTAGGCGTGTCCAGCAGTACCTACCAAATGGGGTGCGAAACGTGGTTAGGAGTTGTGATTCTGGGTCCAGGTGGACTGAGCAATATCCTGCCTTAGCATCCAGTTTGCAGAATATTGTAGCATTAGCAAACTTTGGGTTGAGTTCCTCTACTGTTGGAATCTTGTGTGGGCATCTTTTCAGGCTGTTGTTGAGCTTTTGGGGGTCTAGGCACTCCCAGAGTGTACTGTCCTTTTTTGTGCTGTACGCTAAGCTGGAGCACCAATCCGTGTGTCCTTCCACTTTGAGTAACACACCCTGCTCCACGAGGTCATTCAGTTCCTTTTGAAGCTTGTCTTTAGTGTGGATGCTGCATTTACGTGGTGGGTCAGCATCTTCTTTCAGTATGAGTCTGGCGGTTCCACTGAAATGACCATTTTTGTCAAACTGGTCAGGGTTTATTTGCTTCAGATCCTTTATTGTGGATATTTGTATTGGTGAATTGGACCTCTTTGGCTTCTCAGAGTCGTTTTGGCTGCTTATCGAGTCCACATTCTCTGTGACAAGCTTCAGCGATTCACATGTAGGCAATCCTACAATCGCTGGTCCAGGTACATCCACAACTTAAAACATGGCTCTGACCCACTCTGAATCCTTCCACTGACATGGGATGTCTATTTTTCCGAAGCATTGAATTCTATGGCCACTGTAAGCAGATAGTTTTGTATTGCTCTCTTGTAGCCTGTTCATAGCTTGGCAGCTGAATCAGGCGTTCATCCAGCTCTTTTTCATTGAACTGGCACTTCAATGCAAGCGTTCTTGCTCTTGTTACAAAATCATCAATACTTTCATCTGGCATTTGTCTGTATTGCATGAGGTGAAGTCTGTGGATCCTGAAGTTCACGTCCAGCTTTAGTTGTCCTTCAAAAACGTCCACAGATTGGCGGGGACCTTCTTTTCATCATCAGTTAGCCCGCTAGCATTTAGCCTCTTTAACCCCTGATCTCCTATGCCACGGCATATTTTCTGTGCTTGCTTGTCTTCGTCAGTTATGCCAGCAACACACATACAACAGCGACAGTCGTTGCCCGGCAACCCGACTCCTTATGTATCACTCCGCGCTGTGCGCTTCCTATTGTAAAATAGACCCTATTAGGGAGAACTGGTGGGTGTTCAGACCGGGAGTCGATAAGTGATGAGTGTGACACCGTTAAAATGGTTACTTACTGAGGTACTTAGACACAGTCTAATGAATGTTGTGTATATAGTCTGGCCATTATAGCTGGTGTGGTAGGGAAGGTGTTTACAATTATAAAAGTAGGGGTAAATGTGGCACAGTGGATTGCTCCTCCTTCTGCCACTTTCCTTAATTAGGGGTCAGCCAATCAGGGCCCTGGTGGCCTCCTTTAAAAGACTCCAGGGCAGGTGTAACTCGATAGTAGAAGAATTCTTTTGTGTTTTATTGTGTTTTATTGTGTTTTATTGTGTGTGGCACAGCAGGTGACATAATGGGTGGGTGGAGTTTCCACTGGCCTGTGGGAGGTAAGCTTCGGCTCTCGGCTTTTATTGTTTTTAGATCAGTCTCAAACTGATTTTATTTGTTTTAACCTTGTATTTATTGTAATAAATTACTATTTTAACACCCCAGAAACGACTCTCAACTCGTAGGGCAAAAATGTACCTAGGTGCCTCAGTGTCATTTTAAAACAAATTCCTTGGGTGAAATTCCCAAGGTGGCGTTGTTCTGTTAAAATAAACGTAGTCCCTCGAGTCTCCACCATGCCACAT